AGCGCATCGCTAACGACTCGCTTTATTTATTCTTTCGATGGATTTCGCGCTCGTAACGAAGTTTTTTCCATGTTTACATTTCTTGCACATGTTTTTCCGCAAAGTGAAAATCATTAACCCCGATTCGAACGTAAATATAACTGTTTGTACGTGGATTTGTCGAGTTGATTTTATGTAAACAATAGGTTAATTAATTTAATTTGAATGCGAATTATTACAGTGAGATGAGGGGACGTAAAATGTCATTATTTTGTGTATACGAGGGTTTTAAAAGCCCAGTAAAAGTGCAGTAAAAATACCATTTCGCGCGTGTATTACACGATAGTTAACATACTTCTTTTTTTACGTGTATTTAAAAATTTAATGGGGATTTAATTAATGGAACCCCGCGTACGTGCATGGCGAATTCCTTTTGTTCGAGTCAAGGACGAAACCGTTGTTTATTTTGGTTCGTTTGTAATCGACACGAATCCACCGGGTTAATTTTGTCCGTCGAACCGCGATAATCGATGGAGGATCGGCTTTCGAATTAATTCCGATCCGGCGAATACGCAAAAAGGTGAATGCCGGCTATTTAATCCAGAAAATTATGGAACGGGATCAAAGCGATCCCTCGACGGTGGTCAAATGGAGACCGATGGAAAAAAACAAGAAATCGACCTTTATTAGCGACAGAGATATACAAAAATATGTTTTAATAAGGTAATAATGCTCCGTTCGCCATCGAGAGATGATGGAGGAGTATAAATTGAAGGGTTTTATTCGTGGATTTGTGATTTTTGTGGAATGGTGAAATAAATGAATGCTTATTTTGGATCTTAACAATATTGCGATAACAATGAATGGTTCTCGGTGACACTGACAGTGGTACGAGAGTTACAAGCGATAATATTGTTTAATGTGGCGCCTGTACGAATGCTAAATATAGACTTTGGCGTTTCCGATACCCGCCCATAACAATTGAAAATTTCGAGAAATCGAATTCGTGTATTTAAATATTTGCCAAAGAGAAATATAATTATACGTGTGGATGGAGAGAAATTTAGAAACTCCATCTTATTGCATTGTGTTTTTTTAATATGTTAAATAGATAAGGAGTTTTATGGAGAAACGATTTCAAAAATGTTATAGACTAAAGTGGTTTCTATACGGTGATCTAAATTACCAGCGCATTTTTACATAGAAAATGAAGATTTTAAATATTAAACATAATACAAGTATCCATTAAACAGATCGCTGATAAAAAATAAAACGGAATAAAGATTCTCCGTTTTGATAAAAAATAAAAACCCATCGTTTTAAACAGAATAGGCGCGATGGGAACGAGTAAAAGCGATTTTCTCAACGACCATCAGCGACACCCTTTTAACCGCTTCCTTTATTTTTGCAATTCCATAATAATCGCGATTCCTTTGTGTCCCCATACGAATGCTCCCGTGACAAGAAAAATCGACTAATTAACTGAAATAACCGAAGCCTTGTGCACACGCAACTTTATGTAACGCAATACCGGCCATGATTGACATGTCATTTTGAAAGTTGAATAACTACAACATTTTAGAACCATACTGGTGGAAATGCGATATAGTGGAATTACGTTTCAAAAGTTCTCTCGTTGCAGCGCAATTAATAAAGCAACATTTCGAATGCTACAAGGGAAACTTCATCAAACTCGCATTTCGCGTAGGTATTTTCCACCTCATCCTATTTCTTTTTATCGCATTTCATTTACCTTTCCTTTCCGAACGGTATTACTCGGGGATTTGCCAGCGTTCGTTTTCTATGTAAATTCACGGTCCGTTAAACGCTTAGCATTCCGACAAAAGCCTCCGAAGGATGCGCTGCGAAACGTTTTATTTCTCCCTAGTTTTATTTGCATTCTTATCCGTTCGGCCATCGCACGAAGAGAAAAATAACTTTTCTATTTCTTCGGAGAGTGCTTCGCTTTTTCTTTTACTTATTTTCTTGTATTTCGAGACGGTATTTCGAGGCGAAAATAATCCGATATGTGCCGAGTAACTACAATTATAAAAAACAGGACCATGAACAAAATTTCCATAAGGGTTTGGTAGGGAACAAGAGTAGGATATAGTAAATTAGAGTAGATTCAGGGTAGAGTGTAGAATCGCGGTAGAGTAGAGTAGGTACAGAGTAGAACAGATTCAACAAGGTAGAATGGAGTAGATTCAGGGTAGGTTGGAGGCGAGTAAATTCAGAGTAGAGTAGATTCAAGGTAGAGTAGATTCAGATTGAAGTTGATTCAAGGTAGATTCAAAGTAGAGTAAAGATTCACGGTAGAATACCTAGAGTAGATTCAAGTTGTTGTAATTTTTTAATAACACAACAAACTCTTCGATTAAACTTATTGTAAACAACTTTCACATTATATTTACCCTCATTTGCGGCTTATCAACATACAATTGAGCAACCATAAAAAAGATACAAAACCAATTAGCGTATTAATATTAATACAGACAATTAATAACAATTATAATCTGTTTGAAGAATGCTATATAGTTAACGCGATTTTATTTCGAACGTTATCGTTATATAAGAATTGTCGAACAATGAACGATGATTTAGTTGTGTAATGGCCGTTTTGTAATATTCCGGCGTAGAAGGTAATAATTATTTCGGCTAACTGAAGAGGAAAAACTAATTTTTCGAAGGAAATGAACTTCTAAGACGCACCGGGATAATCATTTTTTTGTTATTCAAGTCTCTTCCACGGCATTTCCTGTCGTCATGAAAACTACATTATTACAGAACAATTTATCCAGTAGAAAAATTTATAACCCACACTAACTAATATGTTTGCTTTTGATAAACCAGAAAACGAGTTTTTTTATTAATATCAATTCCCACAAAATTACATTATAATGCTTCCACAACCTTGAATATGCCAGTAGAGGAGATTTCGTTATTTTTAAATCGAATATTACAATGTAGGAGGTAAGTAAAAGGACCTAAATAGAAAGTTTAGAAATCTCTGATTTACAAATACTAAAAATAAATCGAATTAATAATATTATGTTCGTATTATGTAGATTGGAGGATTATGTATTAGCATTATCAGTCATCTTGATTATTAGTAAGAATTTGTATCCGATTAAAGGAATTTTACATTGTTTTTTTGAGCGAAGCTTTATTCAGTTTTAAATTACATACTTTCATATAAAACTAGATAAATACCAAAAGGGAGCGCCTGGATAATTCCATATCGTCTTCAGTAAGTACACAATTTAACTGATAACTAAAATAAATAAATGAATATTGAAAAAACCTGTTAATAATAACAAATAAATGAAATTATTCAGATGTGATTTACTAATGTTTTTCCTCTACTTTGGCCTACTCTTTTAAGACATACAGCCACTTTATAAACACTACACAACAAGCACTCTTGATGGTTGTACTAAAGACCCTTTTTCGTCCTTTAGATGCAGCAGTAGGCAAAGAAAAATTAAATACACGAAATAATAATTCGTATCGTTAAAATTAAATACCTCATGAGACACCATTCGCAACTATCACACTCGACTGCAAAACAAAATAATACTTAATTAGTTACTCACCCATTACGGCTCGAAGATTTGCGTTATCCAAAAAAAAATAGACGAAAAAAAAAACGAATTAGGTAAGTACGAATTGAAATCGTGAGTCACACCATTCACGTAAAAATTAAAGAACACACAATAATCGAGACGAAAACACAATATAAAAGGCACGACCTCGGGTCAACTCGAAGGAGATTATTCATATGAGAAGAGTGTGGTTAAGTTGGCTTGTCACAGTCACTGGTAACTCGAAAAGAAAGTCGCGTTTCCCGTTTGACACATTTTCCTCGTCTGTCACAATGATGTATTCGAAGTTTTCGTGGAACGAGGCGCTTCCGCGGCCGATTTTTTCGACAAAAACATAAACAAACGACTCGATTAGACGAAAACACGGCCGTTCGATGTTTACCAGACACGAATGCAGCGAATTATTTTGTTAATGGAACAGCCGATCGGAGCGCCACCAGCGGAGAATGCCGGCAACTCCGCGGCTGAAAGTGCGAGCTCGAGAGAGAGGGAAGCATTCGAATTCTGAATGAAAGAAAGGGAGAAGTGGAGAACCGAACCGTACCTAGATTAGATCGGATCGCGTTCGGTTAACGATCGGTGCAAGGATTCCAGCGCTCGGTTTCTTGCATACAGGGTGATGTTCGTGATACGAATCACGTTTTATTTTTGTGTTTATTGTCGTAATTTTTGGATTGTTAGAGTTTACACTGATATATGTGTGTAGTTTGATAACAATAAGCAGTAATTTAAAAATATACAAAGAAAAAGAAGATTACTTTGACAGTGACACCTGTCAATTGTCGCGGCAGATTTTTAAATGTTTAAATATGGTGTTATAAACTTGCTGTTATAGTTCCCTATTGTAGGCGTAAATTGGAAATTGGCGAGTTAATTATCAACCTGATTCGACAATAATTATATATCGATCAGTTCGAATTGAATAGGGCTCGTTTTATTCGTACCCACTTGGAATGAAATTAGAAGCCCACGTGCGACTCGAGAGGAACCCATATAGAAGTCACCACTCGTGGGTAGTTCGGCGTGTTTATGAAATTTCCAATTTATATTAAAAAAGTGGGTTGGTAGGTTTCTCTTTACACGTATTTACTGGAAACGCGTAAAGCTATATGTTCCTACTTTTATGGTAATTTACGTGAGTTCGTGTAGGAAGGTGTCGATTTTTATTGTTATTTTCCTGTTATTCGATGAGAAACCCATATAATTTTTTTCTGTTATATCATAGTAATGATTTTTTTGTACTCTTATTTTTTTAGCAATATGTGAGTAGGTTTAAAAATTGTTAGGTTTGTTATCCAGTAGCATGATCTGGAATTGACCGTTAAAATCGATTATAACATAGAACATATTCGGAACATATTACTGTGGAACAAATCAACTTTAACTATTGTAAATATTACATATTATATAATTTACCTTGAACGTGGTAAAAACATGGACCCATCGATGAAGACGGATCCGCTGAGTAATATGTACCAACACGTAGACAATTCACCAGTACTGAAAATAATAAAAAAATATATAAATACTACAAAATGAGAAAATGAGATTGAAGAATCTGCAGGAGAGAATCAAGAGGATTCGTTTACAGGATTTCATTTACAGGTAAGCTACGGAATAGCAGCAATACAGCATAATTTATAAACCTTTGCAATATGGAGGATATCGCAATTTGTTTACTAATTCATTTGAAATGTTGCTAAAATTTTAATTGCGCTTTTGTCGCTTTCAATCCGTTGGGATGTGCTAAATTATTTTGTCTGTGAAAAGGATGCGTTACAATTTAGAAATGAAATTGGTTTGTTGTTCTAATTTGCTAGATTAGGTTTCATTCCACGACCTTGCAAATTTACAGGAGGGGCTATACACCGGATGAATCACATTTTCAAAAAAAATCTAATTCAAAATATATCGTCAAAGATTCATTTGCTTAAAGATTCACGATCCAAAGTTTATATCTACTCTTTAAACTGTCCCCTCTACTTTCTAATCTAAACTGTACTATCTATACTAACTGTACTATAGGAACATGACCAAATAATCGAATTAAAAAAAAAGAAGAATACAAAAAAAAACTTACTAGTAAAGCACATCGTTGGCCAAATGCTTCTCGTACCGGACGACTTTGCAAAGGGCGCGCAAAGTCGAATCTCTGAGCGTTTGCAGCGCCTCCAAGCCGCTCAGGCCGTAATAGATCACCTGCAGGTCCTGCAGCGATCTGCACGTCGGCTGTTTGGCCAGCGATCGTATCCACATGCCCTCCCAATCGGTCAACCCGCCGCGAGATGGAGACACCATGTTGACATCGCGACCGGCGTGCAGCAAAGCCGGCTCTCCTTCTCGCATATACTTCTTCTTTTCGCGTACGGGAGGTCTTTTACGCGAAAGCGCTCAGCCAGCGCAAGCGCTTGTGTTGTTATGGTGGTTGCGGGAGTCGCAGGAGAGTGGAAATGCGTTGTTGGGGTTGTTGATGAGGGTGATTGTGGGTTTTGATATACTCCTGAAACAATAAAGATTATATAAAATTTGGTTGTTTTGAGTGGGTAAATGATGATGAGTCACATTCGTTTTCTTGTTGGTTTAGTATTAGTATCGGACGTATTTGGATCTGACTCCTTATTTATACCCGGTGCATTGATATTTACCTTTTTTTTCAAGCGTGACTAACCGGAGCAACGACCATTAAGGATATGCGGTGGCTTGTCGTTACAGGTTTAATTTATTTGTACGCACCATAATTTAATTGATCGCTTTATTAATAAATAACGCGATGTGTTTTTTTAGTTTTCGAAAATGTGGGACGACTCGCATCGCCCACCTTACTTTACTGCGCTTTTCATGGGCGATAGAAATATTACAAAATGTCGAATAACGTTATTTTTTCCTGCATAATTCCGATAGACAAACGGAAATCCACAAAACCGGGCGATTAATTTGAAATTGAATAGCTATTTTGTAACATCCTTTCCACTAGGTAAGTGTTAGTGTGATTACAAATTACGATACAGTAAAAAAACAGTTATATTGCGCAAATAAATTTGATGATTTTTGCATTGGAGGTAAATTGTGTAATTAGTTTGGGGAAATAAAACGGTTTGAATAGATTAAATGCAATTTTGTTTTGCAATATGGTCAATTCTACGAGTTCAAATAAAGAGTTTAGTAGAATCGAACAATGAGAGAAACAAATTGCTCTTCACTCCATCACACTTACCTAGTTTTTCCAGTGATAAATGTGGTTTCACAATCTAATAAACTCCTTATTGAAACGGACATAACAGGTATACAATAAATATTCTATTTTATTTCTTTTTTACATTTACAATTTCCATCGATTTATCAAAATTTCGAATCTGGTACAACGCAATTTCTTATAACGCAGATGTCACCAATTTTTTGTAATTCATCATCAATACAGAAACCATATGTTACCTTCTTGTCGTTTGGTGTTGTTCTATCTACATTTTTATAATACAAAGAAACTCGAGATTTTTCCACCGGGCAATCTGCGAATAAGATTGCTTTCGATTAGCTTTTGTGCACCGAAGGAATATTATTACATTGTAATGAAAGTCTGAATATAATTCATCTAATGACCATCGGTTTTCAAACGGACAAAATGAAGGTAATTTCATTGTAATTGCGCACTTTGCGAACGAGGTCGAAAATTTCAAATTTCGTATGAAGATGAAAGCTGAATTTTAGATGAAATGCAATTTATTGTTAATTTTTAGTTTGCACTTATCTGTATAATATTTGAGTAAAGTGCCTATAAAAGTAGATATAACTATTAAGCGTAGGTAAGTATTAGAAAAATTTTGATTGTTCTTTTAGGTAAATTCCCACGTCCCACAACAGTCAATTTTTATCCCACAATTTCTAATTTTACTTGCATTTAGAAACAGGAAACATTAAAACATCAACAAACCTGTCGATATAAATCAACGGCAATTTGTTTACTATTGTCTACCATTATTCCCGACCCTAATCTAATTTGGAACGTCTTCGACTCGAGTGGATTTTTCGAGCACCAAGGGCATAGTGAATTCGGTAATCCAATAAATTGGACTAAATTAATTTCGGTTTCGATAATTAAGAAAACTTCGTTTAATTAAATTTTCACTGTTCTATATATATTTCGCAGAGTTCTTTTTATAAATGGCCTGAGTTTAAGAATTTATTACCTACTAAAAATACCTTTTACCGAAAACAAGAATCTTAATCTTATTATATTTTTTTATTGCAACCCGGCTCGAATAAGTCATAAGAAAATATTACGCGATAAAACCTGGAATGTTAATTGCTCTTGTAACCCCTTGTAACTTACATTATATTCAAATCTACGCGACAGGTAGGTAAATAACGAGCTGAAATGCACCTGTCACATGAAAAAAAATCGTTTCTTCTCCACGACATTTTAATATAATATATTACTCACGATAACTCGAATATATTTTAAGCATATACTGTCGTGTTTTGTGACTTTTTGACCGACATACCAGCACCATTGACTGGGTCTTCGAGCTGCCGTTCACCTACAGAGAGAGCTCTAAAAAAGCCTTTAGGGTACATTGCACGCTCGAGGATTCTTTTGTAAATAACGCAATTCAAACAGTACAAAACTTGCATTTTGCTACAAACTTAAATGCTTCCGGATTTGAAGCTTTAAATGCGGGTGATTTTGCCGTAATATGGCTACTAATAAGCAAGTCGTTGAACCAAAAAGTGGCCGTTAAAGCGATTACATTAAAATCGAAGAAGCTTTAAAAACAAGACCACTCTTGCAGGTCTTCTTACTATATGCTCGACATTTTTCGAAATATTTTTATACTAAATATAAATCAACCTGTATAAAATTCACTATTACACATTATGTCAAGGTGACTGACAATCCTCTTATTTATCATTTTTTCGTATCTATTATGTATTTTGATAAGGAAATAAACAAGCTTTTATCTCACCATTGGGACGCATTTAAACATGGAGCAGTAGATAAAATATTGTAAGGCGCATAGTATCCTAAAGAATGATATTTTTACATTTCCAACTAAGATATAATTCCATAGGATATAGAAAATTGCTGCCTGCTAATTTTTACGGCCAACTTAATGGCTGTTTTCCTTTGAAATAATAGGCCGGATCGCTAAAACGAGAATGAAATAGAAGAAGTTAACGATCGCTAGGAAGGTTTTTTACAGGACGCACGTTTGATTCGACTTTACGTGTATCATTATCCGTGCATTTTCCTTTTTGCTCGCTTTCGTTTCGACAAATTGCTCGAATTTTGCACGCACGGCGCATCCTTCAATGGAAGGAAACGCTGCGAGACAACGCAGAAAAATTCACATAATTTCCATGAATAAATTAATTAATATATTTCGCTTTTTTTTCGCCCATTACGAATTTTTCAAAACCAAGGTCGACTGTATTGTATGAATTATACCGTTTTAATTAGTTTTGTTTGGTTACAAAACAATTTTTATCAGGAAGTAGTTCGTAAAATTTACTGTTCCATGTTTTATCTAAAATATGTGTTATCTGATGTATACAATGTTCATACTAATATGGCTATGACGTCACGTTTTAGTGTAAACGTAAACGTACTATATGTTATATGCATATTAATTTTTTGATGCATTTTATTCTATTTTATGGCGTAATTATTAAAAAGGTTAAGCATCTCATTGACCATGAGAGGTCGGTAATTAAATTAAATATTCATAATATTAAGTGCCATTTTGAACCGGTGTCGCTCGAGACGTTGTCAAATATTTAACATGGAGCTCTTCAAGCAATTCAAGTGATTTGATATAAGTAATCCTGCTGTATTATCAACGAGCTTAAATTGTGTATAAGTTCCTCGACCTAGTTTCCCTTCGAACGGTAATTTTTATGGGATATATTTCAGATTTTCCCAGCGCGTACTTTTTTCCCATGATCATCGAAATCGGAGAATTATTATTCCATTATAAACAACAATACCCGCGATTTTCTCCATCAATGATTGACTTTCACTGTTTTTTCTTCTTTCCGTACAATCGCGATTCTTATAAGCATTCGCTAGGTTTTTTTAACGACTTTTCACGGTGTTTGATCACAATGCTATTTTTTACAATGTTGTTTGGAAAAATTAACCAATTTTTCGTTCCGTTACCTACGGATTTGCTCAAATGTACTTAGCATTGTTTCAAATTGACAATGTGCTTAGACAATTAGTTATTATGTTATTAATAAAAAGAAAGTGAAAAAAATTGTTTCTTTCTACCGTTTCTTTTACTCCAAAAATTCTAGGGGAACGATTGGGAACTTAAAACTTGGCATTATGTTAAACTTTTTAGACAAATTAATTATTTATAGTTATTTCGTTAATAAAATTACAAAATAAATTAATGAAACACAACTTGACAAATGCTAGAAGAATTATTACAAGTTTCGGTTTATTTTGGAAATTTGATTAAAATTTTGGAAATAAATTAGGTAGCTGTGATGAGGTCATATTATTTAAATTTGTTATACCTAATTTACCTTGCCAGGTTTGCTTGAACTTACGTATTCGAAACTTAATGGCTACAATTTAAATTTTGCGATACATAATTTAGACCAAATAACCTAAACCTTGACTCTTACTTATCCTTCAATTTAAACGGTAATGAATTAATATTTTTCTACAATTACTATTACTCCTACGAAAGTGAATACTCTACTACTCTACCCCCATCTTCTGTACTGTCTCTAATTTTAAAAACGAATGTTTTTATAGAACATTTTGAAATAAAATTAATGATACTGAAAAAAGAACAGGTAAACAAGTTTTCCATTCTCACGCTTGGGATCTTTGGAGGCTCTCTAGAAAATAGATTAAAGAACGAGGAACCCAAACAACAGGTGAATAGTTGACCAGAATACCCGATTCTTCGGTGTCACAAGCATACAGGGTGGATCACTATTTTATCTAGCATCTCGTCGTAATTCGGTGCAGTGATTGCATAAAAAAGCGTAAAAATAATAATTTAATTACATTAGAAATGGATGCGTATCGATCGAGGAAGAGTATTTAGGTCGCAGCGATTAGATAATAAAAATAATTGATGCCTCTTACGTGCGGATGAATATTTTTTGCATACTTTTTCAGTACGTGTAATTTATCACGAAACTTTGTACATTTTCTACGCTTATGCTTTTATAAAGTTGGCTTCAATAAATAATGGAAGTAATCTTGGAAGCAAATTAATATGAAGTACTTGCTATTAGGGGATGATGCTCGCAGCAACATTGAAAGATTCACTTGATTTATTTACGTTGCATAATAAATTAGGTAAATGAAGAGATTAACATTTCTAAATATCGAGGAGAGAAAGGATGATGCGAAGTTTTGTAACTTTTTCACAATCGTTAACTTATTCGACATCGGATAATTTCTTCATCTAATTAATACGCACATAAATTCAAGGATTAAAAAAATCTTCACATAACTCGCAAAATTTACGGATTATTAATTTTCTGCGCTTTTGTACAGGATCTGCATTCTTATATGTCATTTAGCAACAAGTTGATTGTTGATTAGCAGCAAATAATTGTCGATTAGCAACAGCATAAATCTTTTTTTTGGGCTGCTCGTCTCGATTAATCTCCGTTCAAAGCAAGTACGATCGAGCTAGTTTTAGATGGAATTAGCCGGCTCAAAGCGAGCATCTTCGATGCGTGTAGAGTGGCAAAAGAAAAACTTGCGACAGGCAATAAAGAGGCAAAAGAGTGCATAAAAGTAATATGGGGCGTTACGAACCGGTGGCTGAATTAAACTCGAGTCGCTCGTTTCGGAATGAAAGCCAACTTCGCCGGCTTTTAGTACGCCTCCTGCGCTCCGTCACACAAAGGAATTACAATCGAAACTGCGAGTAATTCAGTCCAATTTGGGACTGTCGAGAGGAAGTCGTGCAGAGAAAATACAGTATGAGGTTAAATGTTTGTTGAATCATTTCGGGTTTCCGTCGATTTTTTTATTCGTGTTTTTTTTGGTCGATAATAAAAAATATCGGTGTATTGAAAATTCGTTAATCAATGAAGTTTTATTGCGATCTTATACAATTGCATTGCCTTGCGTAAACTGTGATAAGTAATAACTGTTTTATTGTGTTGTTTTTATAAACAAGATTTTTGTGAAAATGCCTGAACATTTTCCTCACTTGTGCGAGTTTAAAATACATGCATTTATTAATTTTAATAATCTTCAACCATAATTGAAAAAAGAATCAATTTCGATAACATCCCTCTGTTAATTTTTTAATCCGTTCAATCCTAGTCGAAAAAAATTATTAACAGATCAATTTTGATAACATTCCTCTGTTGTAATTTCTCTACATAATCTAGCATTCCAGACTTTTTTTTTATCAACTTCATCAATTCAAAAACAATATTTATCGAGTAGAAATAAAATATTTGTTAGATGATACACCAATGTTTACCAACTGATACGCATCTATAATATAATTTTATCGACACAAATTGCACGAAATTAAATTTAGAAAAACTCCCATCAACTCTCGCGCATTTCATTCAACCGATAAATCACGCCGGTGATCCAATATATCAATTATTAAACGCATCAATTTTCAATTTCGCATTCATTACTCACACTTCTCCCCTTTAAAGACACCCAATAATCGAGTTTTCCACCTGCGGAAAACTCCCCGAAATTACCGGACCCAAATGAAAATTTTATATCGGTTTTCACGCTAAAAATCCCACCTGCGGATTTTTCATCAGGGGGAATTAACATGCGTCCCTTGAGCAAATCGTAGTAAATAATTAATTGGCATTAAATCACCAACTAAGCATTTGATCAGCAGCTAATTAAGCAACTGATCAGCAAAGAATTTGGCATATTATCTGCAACTAATTAAGCAACTGACCAGCAAAGAATTTGGCATAATATCTGCAACTAATTAAGCAACTGATCAGCAAAGAATTTGGCACAATATCAGCAACTAATTAGCAACAAACTCGTCTTGTTTTAATCATCCCAAGCCGATTTCCGCACGTGGATAATTCGTAGGATTTTTTTCATCAAGAGAAATCTTCTCGATCGAGCATCTAATGAAACAGTAAAGTGGAACTTTGTTATAATATGCAAACTAAAAGCCAGTTCTCTTAACATTTTTTTTCGATCATCTGCGGTCATGCCGGGCACGCTTCACGGCACACTTTCAATTCAACTGTGAATTTCGTGATGTTATCATCAAACAACAGCTTGATACGAGGGGAAACAAGCTGCGTGATGATAAGAGTATAAAGTTGTGTAAAGAGAGAATTGCTCTCTATGCATATACATAGAAGAGATTTTCTAATAGAAGAGTACCTTACAATAGTTTATCTACGTCTCAAGATGATGCGATTAAAGAACTGTTTAGTCAATACCTTTTAGAAGGAGGATGAGACTGTTGAAATTAACGGATTTAGAACACAACGTGTATACTCGCTCTAAACCCCTTTTATTGTCTTATATGAAACAATGGGCGCGCTTCGTCGGGTTCACCTGCCCTCGCAGGAAGTCTTCACCGTTTCCGGTTTCGGTTTCTTCGGGACGGGCGGCCGTTAAGGCACGTTATAAAACCCATTTAAAAGTCGCGGAATAATTTTAAAAAAATTCCATGCTTTAACATCGCAGTGTTGCCACTGTTAAATGTCTGTATTCTATGTCAGGAACGCTTGGAATAACTGTAGAATTTGTAGAACATACGCAAGTTACGTCTTCAGCTATTACTATCGGTCTGTAGGTGTAATAAGTGTCTTTATGAAATTCAAAACGAATCGTTCACTATTCACTCCACACGTTTGCTCGTTATCATATTTCGTTAAAATTGCATTAAAGAAGAAAATATGAAGCTAATATGAATACGAAGGGATCGTATATCATGCAGAAATTAACACGGTTTTGTTGAATTTCATACTTTAATATACTGTTTTTTGCCAGAAAAATAAGTGTCTCGGTTTATTTTGTCGAGGGATATCCAGTAAATTCAGGCGAATATATCGATTGCTTAATAAAATAAATTCTAATAAAAACCTCCCGCGAAAGAAACTTGAAATATAACGGCTGGCTTTGTTATTATGGCGAGCGAGAGAGTTTCGAAAGGGTGAAGTATAAAATTGAATGGCCGTCGGCGTTGAATTTTTATGGCGTCGCGACGACACGATCTATATTTTTTTCTTCTTCTATCGACCACAAGGTCTTTTTGAAAACATACATGAAAGGGAAAATATGCAACCCTGACCTCGACAATTCTCTAGGGGATGAAGAATGTAATGCGTTTGAATATGTAATTTAAAATTTGGATTTTTTTGTATACTTTTTATAATATAGTATATCATATAAATAATGGAACGGAGTATAATTTCGACATTAAGTGCGTCAACCCGAAACTTCTAATCTAATATCCGAGAGTTTCGAAAGTTTCCTCACCTCGTAAAATTCGTGTTTGCCCGAAGTGACACCTACCTACCGATAAAAAGGGGCTTTAGATAACGTTAGGGCGCCAGGGATTTTGATTTACGAGACGCTTTATTAATTTCGTCATCCCGCGTTTCCCGAGCGAAGGAAAAGCAAACGGTACAAGCGCGCGAAGATTGTGAGGTAAAAATCGAAAATTCGACGGAGCAAACGCGACATTTCACGCCAAATTTAAGCCGAGCCGATTGTGATAGCGTCGAGAAAAAATTGTTAATAAGACCATTATTTCTGCACAATTTAATTTCGAATTTTTCACTCTAGTTTTAAAGCGATACTGTGGAATAGGGTAGAGTAAAGTAGTAGTATAGTAGGAGTATAGAGGCTATTCAAAAAAATAACTGTTATTTTGTAACAGTCGTTACTGCAGCTCTATACCAAAAAATCGATTCCTACCTCTAATGAATTTTGTCATACGAAATGTCATTAATGTCAATTTTGACAGTTTCGAATGTGTTTATGTTTCATCGAAAACATCTTAAAGACCCACTTATTCACAAAATGCTTTGCTGCAAATAAAAATTAAAAGCAATTATTATAAAACTTTTATTGAATGATATCTTCAGCGACCGGCTTTATTATACATTCACGTAACCGGTAATCAACTGTCGTTTAAGTATATTAACGGTAAATTTAATACAGAAACTCGTCACTTCGATACTTTCATGTAAGTGTACGAATAAAAGATTCTGCGCCTAATTGATAGGGGAGATCGGGACGCTCGATGTTACCAACATTATCAATTCTTATCAACTTGCATATCCTTAGATTTTTGTAAACAAAAAAACCATGCTGATATCGAAAAAACCTTCTTAACCACACCGCAATCGAAACCAAGGAAGTTATTTAGCATTGGAATCGGTTTGTTTATTTTTATTTTCATTATATGCAGATCTGCGTATCGCAAACGAACTCGCATAATTTATATCGTTTCTTTATTAAACCGAGTACCTGTCGAACCATTGTATAAGCACCCAAGGTAAGTAATAACGCATAAATGCTATAAGAAAGCCATAAGGTATGCGTGCATATAAAATATAAGAGAAATAAACGGTGCAGGTAGATGTGAATGTATAACAGGTAACAGAAATAATCGTTTGGAATCGCCACGTTAGGGGTTGTTGTTGTTTAGAAGATGACTTGGTAAATTATAAAGGTGGTGGAAACTGTTACATTATTTTTTGGTAAAATTTTAAGGGGTGACCAAAGAAAGTTCTTCTTAAAAAATAACCTAGAACTAGTGCTCATTATATCCATTTTTAAGTGTCAATTTAACGGTTCAAACCCTGTTAAAACAAACAATTTTTACCTTAAATACAATTGGCAATATCCTAATAAGCAATAATCCAATCAAATCGAACTCATCACCACTCACAACACAACATAATATAACACTTGTAACAAATAAAAAATTCGCGACGTGTGGCAAAAGGGACGGAAGGCGTCGCGTAAACGACGCTCCGACGTCGAGACGCGGCTGGTATAGGTGCAGGTGGGACGCGACCACGGCGCGGTTCAAGGTAAACTGAACCGAATATCGAAATCGAAACGAAACCGAAGTTCGCGTGGATGCCGGGATAATGAAGCGAGCGAGCGAGCGCGCCGAGCAACGGTAGAAACTAGTCGAGCGGCCGGTTCTCGACGGTTTTGTTTCGAAAATGCCATCTTCTTATTGGCTCCGAAGGTCACTCTGCGTATACCGTGCGTATGTAGAATGTGTGTTCTCTTCGGTTTTATTTTCGTACCTGAAGTGTGCACGCTAAGGGCGGTCCTGTTGGGATAAGCACGCGAAAAAAGCTCGGTAATTAGAAGCCCTCCGAGAATGAGTTTTTTATGAAATTTGAGAAACTATAGAGACTTGATAATTGGGTGCTATAAAGGGATTGTAGATTTTAATCGTATTGCTCTATTTAATTTTCTCTACTCTACCGTACTCTACTTTTCTTTTGCCTACTCTACTCTAGTCTACCCTAGCCTGCTCTTCTCTACTTTACCTTGCTCTTGGCTACTATATTTTTATTTTGCCTACTCTACCCTGCTCGCCTCTTCTCTATTCTAATATAATCTTCTACTATACTCTACACTACCCTAACTTATTCTACTCCAGTTACTCTATATTCCAAAAATTATCATTTTTTTAAAATTTTGTTAATGAACTCAAATAATCCCCTTTTTTCCCAGTTTTTTCGTTTAAAGGACGAGCCATTGTCAATTTCATCAACTTTAAATTTGACAAATAAATGTCAGAGCCAAGAAACCATAGCAAAAATTCAAAATGGCGCCTAACTGTCATTTTGAAAGTTTCAACTGTCATTTTTACGTCAATAAATAGTATTTTTACTCCAATATAAACACCCCAAATTGCGCGACAAAAGGTCTTACCATTCAAAAGTTAAAGGGGGGGCTACGGACTCACTGTATAATTTTGGGTATGAAATGGACAATTTTATTTCCCTCTGCAATGCGCGGCGTATTTTTGTGTTTGTATTGCGGCTCCCAACCCTTTAATTTCAGGGCTCTACCCTAATGCAAACGGGACTAAAAAGGACCGGTGCAGGGTGCCATAACCGCATCCTGTTTACTCCATATTCACGTGTAAATATTAAATTTGAAGGGCGAACTATTAGAATAAAAATGTCGAAATGTTATTTATTTCACCACTATTTACAAGCTTGCTTTAATTGAGAAAAAAACACTATTCACTAGCCTATAAATATAAATTTCCTAAACATAACAAAATAAATAGGTACATATCTACCAGTTGTTAAATTACTACTGACAAAAATATCAAATATGTATGGTATTTTGATCGTATATATGTCAAAAATACACAGCCTTGTTTATTTACAACGTTACATTAACAATTATACCACAATATGTTTTTTCCTGTAGCAATACTTCAATCAGTATTTATTGTCTTTTTTAATTTGAAAAAAATAATCGATTTTTGACTAATATGAAGCATTTTTCAACAATTCGATATTCGCAAATTGTTGTAAAACTTTGTTCGAATTTATCCGAGACCCAGCACGTATTTGGGCAACTGTATGGTCAACCGTGGAATTGACATCAAGACAGACATTCTAAAAAAAATAATAATAACCATCACGTTACCATCAATTACAGACAACTATCACACTATACAGGGTGTAAATTAATGTTTAACACCCTGAATTTACAAAATTTTATGTACAACAAAACACTAATCGAATTAGAACCTACCTAATAAATTTGAAACAACCAACAACCAAGTGTTGCCCAACTCACACCATTCTACGAGAGAAAAAGATTATTTTTTAGTAGATTAATATCATTTTCCACAACCAGAAAACACGCAATAGTTGTTTTCTATTATAGTAAAGTTACAACTTTCACCCGTCCCAAAATTGGGCGATGGTAAATTGGAAGAACTTTTAATTCTACTGGTAAATTGGGCGCGAGAATATTTCTTATAGGTAGGGTATAGTAGAGGTAGAGAAGAAGAATGTAGAGAAATTTGACAAATAACGGTTATTTTGTAACAGTCGTTACAGCACCTCTATACAAAAAAATCGATTCCACCTCTATTAAACTTCTGTCATACGAAATGTCATTAATGTCAATTTTGACATTAATGTACCATCGAACGCATCTTAAAGTCTTCTCACCCAATTTACCTATAGGATTATAACGTCTAAAAATCCCAATTTACATCCGTTCCCGAAATGTTAAGTGCAATAAAATATTTACATTTTCCGTTTTCGACAAAATGCAAGTGAACTTACGACACCGATATAGTATTGTAAAACCATTCCTTCCACGTGACGTTCGACGACGAATCGATCCTCGACTCGATCGTCTCGCAGAGGTTCTTCCGATCGTGCGATCTGCCCGAATGCAAATCGCACAGGATCCGCTTCTTGCACGCCGTATCGCACGACGGCCGCGCCGGACTCGCCTTGTAATAATACCTACGAATCGACAAAAAAAATCAATCAACTACTCCCGCTTCGAAGCCTCGTTTCGGACGCACTTGTAAAACAAATCGAACAGCTTGGGATCGTTGGTCATCCTGGCGACGAGCTCGTCCCAATCCTGCGGCCGCAGCGACTCCAAACCGAACGCCTGCCTGGCCGAATAGAGCTTGAACCAAATGGGATAGCCGTAGAGATTCGCCTCCCTCAGGTTCATCGTCCACGATTCGTGATCGACCACCGACTACAAGTCCGAAAAACATACAAAATTAACTGCTAATCAACAAGCAAATGTTGCTAGTAGATGAATAATCGTTGTTAGTAGACAAATAAAGGTTGTTAGGAGACAAATGAGTGTTGCTAATCGACAAAGGATTGTTGCTAGTCGAAAAGTAAGTGATGCTATGTTATTTGTTTACCCTTGTCGACTTGTCGTGGTCTCCGTCTACGTAGTATATCCTGTATCCGGGATTTAGGTCGTAGTACGGGGTGACCGAGGGTCCTACGTAGGCGATGCTGATTGCCCTGGCTGGAAAATGCGAGGGATTAGAGCCGGTTGTTGGTGCTTAAAGAGGATATAATTCGGACTTACATAGGTCTTTTTTATCGTAGAAGACTTCGAATTCGTCGTAGTGCGTGTGGCCGAAGAACTGGGCCGTTATGATGGATTCGTAGCGATTTATGACGGCGTAGTAGTTCCTCGACCAGACTTTGAGGCAATCAGAATGTCCCGGTGGAATGTGACCTGAAAATAATGGGAAATTATTTAGCGAATTGTTCTCGTAAACGCTCCGATGGGCGTACCTATAACGTGGACTTTCTCCCCGTTGAATTCCGCCGATTGAAGTTCGTAAATGAACCACTGGAGCTCCGTGGCGGGATCTGTGCTGTTCAGTAACAACCACCAGTTCTTGTTGTTGCAGTAATTCATGTTCAACGAAATCAATCTGAATCCCGGCCTGATCAATACCGAGTAAAAGGCGCCCCTTCTCACCGTGTTACTGACCGAGCCGGGCAGCCATTTTCTCCATTGCACGTCCAGCTCGTCGTACAACCACGATATGGAACTGTCCGGATTGTCAACGAACGGCGGAGGAAAACTGTTCACCGGCGCGGATTCGTGGTTTCCCAAAGCCGGAAAAATCGGTATGCCGGGGAACATCGTCAGCATTTGCTTGACCGTGTCTTTCAGTATCTTCAGGTTTTCCTCTTTGGTTTGATTCCAAATGTCGTGAGGCGGCAGATCGCCGGTCCACAAGATGTAATCGATATCCTGAAACAACGAAAACCGTGCAAAAGTTCCTAAAACTAGCGAGAAAACGCTTCAACTCACCGGGTGCTTGTCCTGTATGTGTTGCAGCATATTATCCACAGTAATCTTCGGAGTGTCGCATTTCCTGTAATCCCCCCATCTGAAAATACAACAATTTAATGTGGGCTGGAAACAACGAAAAAAAAATCCTCACTTTCCGGCTGCTTGTTCTTTGGACGTGGCCAGTCCGTTGGTGAGGCGGCAACACAAAGGCTCCGAGCAATCGGCGTTGCTGCCCTCCATGTAGTAGGGATCGTAATGGGTGTCTGATAGATGGAGCACCTTAAAAGTGGGCGCGCTGGCCTGGAAGAATTAGGGAATTAGAGCGAGAAGATTGGGTGAAGTAGAGATGAAATTGGAGCAAAAAGAAGGGAGGAAGCTGGATTGGGCATAAAGGAATTGGAGCATGAAGAAGGAAGGAATAGGATTGGGCATAAGGAAATTGGAAGAAGAAGGAAGGATGGTGGATTGAGCAAAAGAAATGATTTTAATGGAATACAAATTAACAATTATAAATAACAATTGTAGGTGCATAAACGATAAAAAACCAGAAACAAATCAACAGCACGCCTCCCGTTATCTCTATAAAATGAACTGCAAGTTTAATTACATCGCTTTTTTTTAATATTAGTGTCACGATTAAAATTAATCGTGCAATTTATCTGCACAAAAATACATCAATAAAAATATTTTTTCTGAACCCAATTAACTAAATAAGAAGTGGATAGAACGAAAATAGGAATCAGTACCTCCGGAATTTTGGGTTCCACGAGGGTGGGTTTGGGTACCGGCGGGAACATCACCTCCCACTCGTGATAGGGGTTGTAAACGTCCCCGCAGGCGTCGCCGATAACGAAGCTGCAAATCTCGTCCGGACCTGTTGATAAATTAAAAATAAAATAGAGGTACTGAGCAAATTTTTTGAGCTCGTGTTACCTATTTTGACTTTGCTCAAAACGTAAATGACCTCTCCCGCGAATAGTTCGGTGATGCCCTCGCACACTCGAGGCGATTGGATTTTCAAATTGACGCAAAATTGGTAAATGGTTTTTTTGATTTCCTTCTCGGATTTGCCGGTTTTGGTGTAATGCTGCAGCAGTCCCGCGCCTGAAATAAAAATATTTCTTGCAGTCGCAGGTCATAGTTTTCTCCCTACTTTTATAACGAACAAAATGTCTTTATATAACAAGAGTTTTCTCCCATTTTCAATCTACATTAAGGAGTGTTTGTTTTAATCTGCTGTTTAGTTAATTTAACATGAAATACCTGCTTTGCATGCCGTGCAGGAGACCTTCGACATGACGGAGTTTTCGATTTCGAAAGCGACTTGTTTGAGATTGAGCAGTTTCAAGGCTTTGTCGAAGAACTGCGGCAAGTGCGTGGTTTTCTCCTGGTCCAGTTCCCACAGCAATCTAGCCTGAAAACAGCATTTTTCGAATGAAGACGGCGAAAAAACGCAGCTGAAGATCTCGACGGCGACGAGGAAAGGGTAATAACGAAGAAATTAATACATACTTACAGTGCCATTGCCGGCCAGAGGCGGTAACGTGTGCTTCCTGGTGACATTAGACAGAATCGGTACTTCGTTGTGTTCGGTTTTGTAATTCCAATTGTCCGTAAACTTTTCCTCCGGCTCGTCCGGAGCGTCAGCTGTTATTATAAAAGTGTTCGAATCGAATTGCATCGGTAGAGCTGCAACCGTAAGAAACATGAACCTATTTCGTTGGTGTTGGTAGAAAAAGTGAAGTATACAACAAGAAAATTACTACTTGGATTGTATATATTATAATTATATCATTCCCATAATATTTCCACTTAGTTAATAAACATTATACAATGGTCTCAATGAAACGAATTATAATAAACCGAGCACCGTAAAAATTATGCGAATGCGCGAGTTGTAATGATGATAATTAAATAAATTCGATGTTACAAGCGAGAATTTGTAAGCGTTGCGCTCGAAGATTGTTAGAAGTTTGAATTGCAAATTTCTTTAAAAACTTTTAATCTCTTTTATCAATTTTAAAACTAAATAAAACTTACCTTGAATATTGATAATTAGATTGCAGAACGTACATGTTGCTATTAGTAGACAAAGTTTTAACATAGTCAACCTAAAATGAAAAATATAGCGTTATTTAATTTCATAAAAAATGATGAATCAAAACGATAAAAAAATATATTTAATTATTATACATAGGTAGTAACAAAAATATCTAATAATAGTTTGTATTTAAATAATTAAACACGGTAAATAGATTTTCTCTTGCATTTATCATCGTCAATTGAATGCAAAAATTTACACTTTCCTTTTATTATAACAATAACTAATAGTCCTGTAATGTAAATAATCGTGTGTTATCGACACGTGTGTATTATTAACATTTTATGATTTCTCCTGCGAATACTATTACTTTTTTTCATATTTCTGTACGCATTGCACTGGTAATTAGAGAGCAAATTTCACAGAACTATCAATTTTGCTGTCTCTAAAACACCACTAATGTCCACTGAATTAAATAAAGTCTTTACCTTTTCGTAGCATACATGCAACTAAAAAATATGTCTGTCTGAAAAATATTTTCTGTTATTTTCTACGCGATCTATTTTCGACGCGATCGTACGAAATTACAATTAATAACGAAATAGCATAATGACGAGTAGAGCAACAGATAAGTCCTCTCTATCGGCGTTTCAAAAGCAAAACAAAGCTTATTGTCAGCCAAGCAAATTGGCCAATTCCTGTTTAAACTTAAATTGGAATTAATAATAACGCGAGTTTCGTTTACTTTAATTAGATGGGCGATTTATCTTTGATTTTGATGAAAAATTGGGTCATTAGAATCGACGTATACGCTTTGATTGTTCGATTGTGAAATTAATCGTTATGTGCGCAAATCGTGTAGAAAATATGAATTTCTATAAATAGGGCGATTTTAGCATCAACAACGGGGCAAATCGATCGAGCGGTTTTAATCAATTAAAGTTCATTTACGAAATTGAATTGTACTCGTTGTTATAAACAGGGTTTTAAAATATTCATATAACAAAACATCGAAGGAAGTCGAGACATATTTTTATATCTACTCATTGATTTTTTTTTTATCCAATGAAGTGTTGAGTTGACCAATTAAATAAGAAAAGTTTCTAATCATGCATTTGCAAGTTTCCATATTTGGAGATATGCGTGTAATTTGTTATAGATTTCCTCATTCCATCCAGCAAAACTCGCCTAATATGCTGAAAATGAGCATAAAATATGCAAATAAACCTCTCAGATATTAAGGGTAGCTATAACAATGAAAAAATGAAAAAATCATTAATACAGTCAAAGTGTTTTCTCTCTACTTTTACAACTGCAGCACAGCGTTCTGTATGCAATTTGCAATGTAGTTAAAGGTAACTGATTTGCATACAATTGCATAGTACTAGATATTGTTATAAACTCTATACAGAACAACAAATTAATACTTCACAAATTAATCAAGCAATAAACCACCTTTTTTACGACTAAATGAAGTACTTTTTTGGACTCTCGAATGGCCATATTTCGAAAAGGCATCGAACTTGTTCCATGAATCCTTGACTGCCGGTGAAAGTTTCCAATTATTTGTTACGTTATGCTGGTGATATGAGAATGCCATCGTCTACTAAATTACCATTGATAGCCATTCTAGTGCGCTTGTGATGGCATTTTTAGAGCGCTTCCGGATGTAAAAGGTGCGTTATTTTTTTTACTACGTGTAGTTACCAGAAAATCTCTAGCGAGAATCCTCCGTGAACAAGGTTGAATTTTAATTAACAACGCGCACGTGGATCATATAGGTAATTTACATAATATAAATCTTCCGTATTGATGAAATTATTGAAGAAGTATAATAGTTTATTGACCTTATTTAACTAAATACAAACCCACAAGTATGGTAGGTTTACTTTAGCTTGGACGCGACGTTTTTCTGATCCTCCAGGATTTTTAGTAGTTCAATTTTAATTTATTTGTTTTTTTGTTTGCAATTAAAGGCGAGTACGGTGATCGAGTACTCGAGTCGACACGCTATGTGGCGTGGTGGTACCGTAGAAAGTAACGCTTTAAAGAAAATAACAATGTTCTTATGTTTATTAAGTACATATAAAACTACTTAAAATCAGGACGCATTCGAATTCTCGATAACTGGCTCTGTTGGATTTCCCAAAGATGCGTCATACTTTTTGCTTTCGGGGCGCGATGGTTAACAGGAAAAAGTGAAATTCATAATAGATGAAAGGTAGAAGTGGATTAATAGTCGATGATTTTAGATGATTTTTAGCGCTTTGCAGTGAACCGAAAAAGTAACAATAAAGACAAATACCTTCGAGCAATGGAATATAAAATAATCGAGTTGAACCGTTAATTAACCTTTCTAATATCTATGTGGATACCTGCATAGTTTTCAAAGACACTTCACGTTCGTTTGGAATTATGTATTATCTACTAAAATGTACGATGTTATCACTATTTTTATCTAATCTTCGTGCGGTTTTAAACACACAAAATCCCCAGAATGCTGGTATACTGTTAAAATAGCACTAACAGTACAAATAATAAAAACGGGGCGCAGCGTTCAGGGCCATTTGGTCAATGACTCGATGCTTTTGTTGCCGGTCCATACCCAATTTGCATGATTCTCTATCGAATAAGTAATACCAATCTACTTGTTATAAATTAATTATCGTTGTATATTAGTTCAATCACCGGACAAAATACATCTACAGTAAATTCTTAGAGAGCAACTGTAGACAATAATTCTCTCGATAATTCATTCTTTTTCTAGTTAATTCACGCATTTTCCAAAGCAATTCTACTTAAGATAAATCCAACCTCTGTGAAAATCACTCGACAATTCCGAGGGAATTTCCCTTCCCACCTCCGACAATCCATCCACCATTATAAAGGATACAGTTCAAAAGAACTATTTCGCTTTGTTTTTTTCCACGAATTTTTAAATCGAGTCCACACCGCTTACTTTCGATGAATATAAAAATCCGCCATAAAACGATTTTACGTTCGCAGGCGTATATTTTTTTCGCACGATGGAACAGCGAAACATAACTGTAAATAAATTCGTTGAAATGCAGCTAATGAAGCGTAATTAATTTATTCATCGTACGATCGACGAATATAATTTTTGTAAGTCGCCGCGTTAACTTTAACCTGGATTTTAGTAGATCGATATATCTGCTTTTTACAAGGGTAAGGTGAAAAGTTCTTGGCGCGACAATGAAAGACGCGCGATTATCAGTTGAAAAATTACTTTATTCATCTTATCCAGTCGAAATCTTTGGTTCTAGATAGTTCTAAATGGTTCTGAAGCGTTCTAAACAATTCTAAGACAGTTGTAAATGATTCAGGCCGAGAACTTTTCACCCTGCCCTCGTAAAAATTCATGTTTATTTTGTCGTAATATATTTTTGCCTAATTTATTGTATGTTTATTGAATTATTCGACTAGTTTTCGTTGGGAACGAATTGGAACAAAATGTATTACAATTTTTCAAATTCAACACATTTTTAATTCATTATCAGTTAAGTGATATTGGATTGCATAGATTGTAGTTAGCAAAAATTGAAACAGGAATTACTAGTTTTGCAAATGAAATGATTGAAATAGCACCTCTATAAGGAAATCGTGTATAATTGTCCAAAAAGTATGCCTTAATGACCAGTAATAGTTTAATAGAACAACGCATAGATTAAATAAATTCATACACGACACTCGCACGTATAAAAAAATTCAAAAACTCCTCACCTTTTTGAAGAAAAAAATCCAAATAAATCCCGAAAAGACCGTTCTTTCACGCGCGTATCATCCACCGCATTCAGCTATTGGCAATCATTTGTGTGTCGCGTTCATTACCGTACGGAAAACCTGTTGTTGCGCGTTCTCTGGGCCGATCTGCAGACACGCTAGCGCGTTCGAGTAGAAAGTAAAGAGTCGGGGGAGCTATGGAGGTTACCGGCACGCGCTGCGCTCGAACGGGGACTGCTGCCGGTGGCTGGTGAACCCGACTCGAAGCGGCCATCGACTGGACAACTGGAAGAGGTGGTGAGGGTACATGATGTGCAGTCGGTATTCGATAGGAAAATGAAATAATCGCTTAACAAAATTCGTATAAATTATTTCTACCTTAATTTTTACAATGTGGCACTTAGGATAGATAATCACAATCTTAGTCTAAACAGATCATTTTGTTTTAACGAAAAAAAAATATATATATAAAAATATGTTTATGTAGGTACGTTTAATTTGATAAGATACTGCACTTCGATATCTTCTCCAGAACAACATAAAGAAAAACGAAAAGTTACATGAAATAAATGATCTATATAAAACAATTTGGGCGAAATTCAGCGAGTTTAAAGAGAGAATCGAGAAATATATAAAAAATAATTTTCATACGTAAATGGTAGGCATCATTAATACTAATTATTGGATGAACCGCGATGAGTTAAAACTATTCCCGTATCGAAGACATTTTAGATAAAATTACAACTCATTCATGCCTAACTTTTCATAAACAAACACTTTTAACTCATCATAGTACAAACTCCAAAGGATGTACTAGAAAAATCTTCACATGTAAGCCTTTTCTGGCACACCCCGTACAACATAATTCGACAATAAAACATTTGAACCTCAAACATGTTTGATGAAAAAGCAATTTCATTACATCATCAGCATTGCACTTGTTTAATATTTCCAAAGTACGGTCGCAAAGTGATCCAGAATTCTGGATCGCCATGTACAGGCCAACGTAAATAGCTGCAGACGTGAGTATATTAGATCGACTCGCTCAAGTCACGTCTCCTGTTATTCCTGTCGCACTGTATACAAAATTCTAACGAACCATCGTTACAAGCAATTTAAGAATAGATCGGCCATAAGTAATCAAAATACTTGAAACACTGGGAAAATAGATTACAGTAAATCTATCCGACTTAATAAAATACTTTAGACATTACTTAATGAAGTAACCAACAAATTGTAAACTCAAACGATCAAAAATAAATCTAACAACAATAACAACACTCTTCCGTTCCGTTCCTCGGCTAATTCTCGCACTCCTCCGCCTCGAAGTCCTTCAACAAGTTCCTCTTGCACTTCAAGTTCCCCTCGTATATGATCAGATAAATCATGTAATCGTCGGGGTTGTCGGAGAGATAGGCGACGCTCAATTTGCAAGGCCTCTGCCACTTGGTCTCCGCCTGGTATTTCTTCAAGCTAGGTTTGTGGAATTCCACGTGCCCCTCCGATTTTACGTACTTCAGCTTGTGCACGCTCTCCGTGCAATCGCTTTCGCTCTCCAGCGTTTCGAGATTCTCCGATAGATCGAACGAGGAGGTTTTCAGTTTCTTCAAAGGGGACGTGGGAATGTCTGAAATGTTTAGTCGATGAGCTATCGTCGATGGAAGTTTACGGTAGGAGTTACCCGTCAGGGTGTCGTTGTCTCTGTCGTAACAATCTCTGGTGTATTTCGTTTTGATTTCTCTGCGATACGGGCAGTTGTTTTTGTTGTTGTTGTTATTATGGCTCGTAGAAGGTATCGGTTGTTTTTTAGGCGTGGTGGTCTCGCTTTTTAATTGGACGTTCCTAGGGGGGCTCAATAATATGAAAGGAGTTTCCTTTTTTTCTCTAAAATAGTAAAAGTGTTGTAATAATATGTAAAGTATGTTTGTAATATACACTTACTTAGGGATTTTAACTTTGTGGGAATCTTTAAAACCTATTCCTTTCACCGGCACGATGTTCGTTAGTAAATGCGTAAAGGAAAGGGCCCGTTCGATGAATTCCAGTACGGTTTTCTTGCCTTTGATGGTTTGCCCGAACCAGTCGAGTATCACATCGTCGGATATGTAGTAGCCGAAATGCTGGAAGTCGTTTTCTAATTTGTCGATGTAGAACTCGGTGAAGTGCTCGGCCTCTTTCCGCTCGCCCTCCGAGAAATCCATGTTACAGTCGAATATCTGCAAAAGACACTGTTACAATAGGGGTTGACAACTGGTGCTCGTAAAGGTGGGTTTCAATTCACCATGAAAACCCTGGCAACAGAAGTGCCGACTGAATCAATTCGTTGTTGTTTTGGCAAAATTGCTTACCTAAAGAACTGGAATTGCTTATTTGATTTTTGAAGCTTCTGAAATTTGTCCACTTTCGTTGGGCTTACAAAACATTGTGCTTTCGAATTGGTTACCAGAAAGCGTGAATTCCGTAACGCAAATACAGAAATACGCAACAATCGGTTCGAACAAAGAACAACAAATGTAAATATTGTAAATACAACTTTTTCGTATTTTTTGGTTAAGTTTAAATACCCAACAAATTCAAAATGGCGTCGACATTTTAGCGTCACGCCGTCTATTTTCATTCGGTCGTTTACTAACAGGTGGCACCACTTAATAAATAAAAAAATAAATATTAATAAGCGTTTTTCGATAATACTTAAAAATTGTGTATTACTAAATTAACTTTGGAATTAAATTGGAATCATTTAATGCTCATTAAATTATTGGAGTAGGCATTAAAAAAGAAGAAATTTTCTAGTTGACAAGTGACAGTTTTCAAATGAATTTAAATTTATAATTTTATTGAATATTGAATGTATCAACAATTTATTCTAATTTTGTAATAAAAAAACTTCTTTGAAGAATTGTATTGGACAATCAGTAATTACAGCTATTGGATAATTACTTGAAACCGACAGGTCTATTAAGTACAAAAATACATGTATTAATAACAAATTAATAATTTTCGATTTTTCACTTGTTAGAACAATTATTTAGTAATAAATAAACTTAGAAGCAAATTAGTTAAAAGACAAGTTTCTTGCTGCAAGATTTCCTTGCAAAAACTTAGATTTTATAGCCTTCGATGAACGGGATCCCCGTACTGACTTTCTCTTGATAATCACAGTAATTTTGGCCGAAGAAATTTAACAAAGTAATCTCCTCTATTTCTATTCTAGTCTTGAAGAACAACCAACTCGCTAATGTGTACGCTAATACACACAATGGGTTTAAGAGTAGAACCTTTAAATAAAAATATATACGATTAATTCCAGCAGTGTAATTGTTTTGTTACAACTTACCTGCGTTCCAATAGACCAATAAAACCAACCTACGTAACTAGGATGTCTAAACCAGCTGTATACACCCGTGGTAACTAAAGTGTGGTTGCTAAACTTCTCGCATTGAATCTAAAAAAAGAAATAATTCACCAATAAATAGATTAGAACAAATCTAATTAACAACCAGATGATTGAAGTTCGAACCGGCCGTCAGCATTGCAGTCTTTCTGAGCAGCTCGCCCGATACGCAAATTAGCAGCCCGACATTCGACAGCCACTCGACTTGCTTCATACCTAAATTAAACGAGCGATTCTAATTAACAAATCGGCTACAAACCCGAGCTTAATTACCGGGGAAGAAATAGCTTTCTATAAAGAATTCCACCCAAGAGGTGACGGCAGCCGTGATGTACTGGGGGCTGTGGTTGATGACGAACGAGTCTTTGTTAACGAATTTCGGCTGGACGATGCCTATGGCTACGAATTCGCTGAAATGGAAGAAGGCCATGACGATCATGTACCCTCCGAATAATTGGATGTGCGGCGGGGCGACTAGCTTAACGAATATCCCTAAGGACAAGACACAGCCTAAGAAAGCGGCTCTGATGGCAATCTAAAATGTAAAGTGTTATACTAGAGGATTAACAGGAATCGTGTACTTGTTACCTGAAATGGGTAGTAGCCTTGGAAGTAGAGTTTTGTAATAACGAGCACAACGAATATCGTGCAGGCGAACGTGCCGGCGACATTTGCGAAACTATTTGTAAAATTGTAATAAATTTGCAAGAAGCCTATTATTGTTACGATAAAAAATGATAAGAAAAAACTTTTGAGGGCGATTTTCACTTGTAAACAAGCCATTTTTGTAATGCGCTTTACATGTTACTAATATAAACAAAATCACTATCGTTTTACATTACACAAAACTGCATTTATTTATAACTGTTATTTATTTATCTTTCAATATTTGACAATCAAAAATGAAGTTATCCATTTTTTGACATTTGACGTTTACAACTATGAAACTGACGTCAACCTTTAATAAAGGCCAATTATTATATAATTTGACATTTCAAAAAACCTAACGTCAATGTCAAGCAACTAACAATAAATAAGTAAAAAAATCATTTCCAACAAATAATATGTTAAAAGTATTAACCGGGGTGTGCTCTAAAGTGGTAATATTTTAAATTGTTTCCTTTACATTTCGCAAGAACACCAATTTACCTTCTTATTCTTATCTAACATCTGACGTAACCTAATTTTTTAGGGAGCAACTTTGAGCAAAAGATCCGTACAAACTTGTTCCGTTTTGCAACATGATAATCTATTTGTACATAGAGATACACCTGAGGATAATCCAGGAATTAATTTTGAATTTTCATCTGAAAATCAAAAGGTCAGTATGCGACATTTTGTCAAAACACAATCGTATAATTTACACTGTTTTAGAGGGTAGAAGCAATCCTAGCGATTTACCCCGAAGGCCACAAGCGAGCCGCAATGATCCCCTTGTTAGATTTAGCTCAGAGACAGCACGGGTGGCTGCCGATATCCGCCATGCACAAAGTGGCCGAGATATTGAATTTACCGAATATGAGGGTTTACGAAGTCGCCACGTTTTACACCATGTTTATGAGGTCACTAGATTTAATCTGCTCGGAAATAATATTGTACGATTTTCAATTCGTAGAAAACCTACTGGCAAATATCACGTTCAAGTGTGCACCACGACTCCTTGCATGCTAAGAGGATCTGATAAGATATTAGATACTATTAAGAAGGAATTGTGCATTGGAGTCGGTGAAACTAGCGAAGATAAACAGTGGACTCTATCCGAGGTGGAATGTTTAGGAGCTTGCGTTAATGCCCCAATGGTCCAAATTAATGATGATTACTACGTGAGTAATTTGAATTATTATTGGGGTGATTATAAATTTATTTGATTGTAGGAAGATTTAACTGAGAAAACTACGAAAGAAATATTGGATGAAATAAAGGCTGGAAAGAAACCGGCTCCTGGACCAAAGTATGTTAGTGCGAATTTTTCAGCTCGTTTTGATACATAAATTTATTCCAGGAATGGTCGATTTGCTGCAGAACCCATTGGAGAACCAACGTCATTAAAAGAACCACCTCCAGGACCGGGATTTGGTGTTAGAAAAGATTTGTAATCGGAATTTCTAAGAATAAAAAATTAGTCACTACAATAATTTTATTACAAAAAAAAAGGTACACATCAAATTCCTATTTCAAATTATAATACCGATATTGTCAAAATTGAACGCTTTTTCAACAAAAAAATAATACATTCCAAATGAAATTGACGTTAAACTCTCAAAAAAATTAAACAAAACATAACCACGTTCACAAAAAAATTAATTTTGCCATTTCGAATAGAAAAATAAAAGCTCAAAGTATTAATTTAAAAATGAAGCTTTATTAAATAATCAAATACTTATATAAATAATACACCTGGGTAGGTCGGTGCGTTGAGTAAAGACAGTCAGAGATACAAAAAAAGGAAAAAAATAAAAAGGCGCTACTGACGATCGGTGGATCGCAGTTTTTCTTCCACAGCTTCTATACTGGCTTCTGACAGGTCCGTCGCTTGGATGGTCTTTTGTACTCCTACCAAGGCTTTTTTAAGATAATCAAATGAACTGCAATTAAAAAAATAACATGTTTATAAAACTACAATTACGAAAACTTATTGCATCAAATCATTTGGAGATATTCCAAGTATTTTTTCGGAAATCAGAAAAACAACATTAAGAGGCCACATCTGGCACATTTCCAACCAAAAAAATAAGATTCTGGAAAACTTAATTCATAATCTATTTAAAATAGAGATAAGATATCAATATATTTGTCGTTTAGAAAACATCTAGGTATTAAATGATTAATAACAAACCATGTTTAGTCATGTTATATTAACATGATTCAATTGTCTCGACATTCGAACAAAAAAGTAATAATATTCCGTATGACTAGTAAAATGCAATATCTGCAATTCCGAAAATACCAAAAAAAATCGCGCGATAATTACCTAGCGTATACCATCTTCTTTTTCACGGACGCCGTGTCCGGGCACCACGAGATGAGGAACAACTTTTGTTTCTTAGAGGACTCCGATGTACCCTGGCACTGGTGCAAGTACTCGAAATCGAACAGCCCGTAGCGACACTCGCCGGCGCCGCCCGCCTGCAAATTGGTCAGGAAATCGTCGTACTCCTCGTTCCTGGCGCCCACCAATTCCACGTCGATCTGCTTGCCATCTTTGATCGAGAAAATGGCGTACCGGTGCTTCTTGTCCCTTTTGATTTCTTCGTGGATCTTTTTGCACGCGTCCGCTACTGTTACTCCCGATGCCTAGAAACACACAAACCCATTCGTTTTATATAAATTGAGTGCATCCATAGAATTTTAGTAGCATTTTAGACAGACACGGGGATATGCATTTACAATAAGTTCTTGCTATGGTCCACGGGAAGCAAAACTATCCGGAACTTGTGAAATAATGGAGCTGTCTCTCCACAATATTAGGATGAAATACTTTGAAAGGTATCAATAGAAATAGGAGACTTACCTCCCTTGAAATATCTTCATATATTAGCCAGAATACGATAGGGACACAATAGTTAATTAAAAAACGTACAAAATCATCAAATAGAATACTCTCCTCAATTCTAAAATAGAATACTTGAGAAAGGTATCAAATAGAGATGGAGGATTTACTCAACTCTCTTGAAACATCTTCAAATAGAAGATTAGGACACGATGGGTGATTAAAGAATCTTAACAAACCATCAGAAACAAAGAAAATGGAATACTCTCCACAATTCCAATATAAAATAGAGATGGGAACATACCTCCCTTGAAACATATGATTAGGACATGATAGGTGATTAAAAGACTCTCAACAAACCATCAGATAAAACAAAAAATATACTAAATAAGACGCCTATATCGAGTTTTTACCGAATCCGGATATCTCGACGTTTCGCTACTGCATCCTGCCAGTGGAGACAGGAAATGAATAACGCACAAGTACAAGTCGCGAGTAACTGTAAATGCGTTTTTGTTTAAACGTGTTTAATCGCGCTGTCGGAATAATTTCGGAATTTTAACGGGTTTGATGGCTCGAAAATAAAAACGGTTGGCCACATAAGGAGGCATAATGTCTGCGATACGAGTACGCCTATTTATGTGGATGCTAAAAATAAATTTCGACACACGTTGATCGTATTTTTAAAAACCGTTTCGATAAAATTAGCGACGGTTTTGTTTAAACTGCCCTCGTGGATTTTTCGCTGCGGTTTTTTTCATTCTTTCGAAGGATTATGTGGAGATATCAGATGTCACACCATATATACGCATGAGTCATTAAACCGAAATTACTCGCTGGAATCCGATATAAACCATTAACTTTGGTTTTCTTTCATTAATCAACCTTGAATGTTTCCGAAGAATGATTCACAACGCGATCCAATTATAGTGTAACAAAGATTTTTTTCCCGATAAAAGAGATAACAGCACGGCAAAGGGCGAGGTTGGATTTTTCTGCTAACTCCTCGCCGAATCGCTTCGATTAGTTCCCATTTGATTCGTTTAAAGCGACCGAAGTCGTATGAACGATTGAATTAATCCAGTTCATTCGAATCTTATCCTATTTTGGCCAGTTTAATGCCAATCTACGAAAATATGGCCGCCCGGCTTACTGTCGGGAAATTCGCGATATCATCGCAAACAAGCCTAATTACTCGATGAAATATAAGCAAACGTAACTAACTAACTAATTACTCACCATATTTGATATACTCCCTAATATGAAAACTGTACAATTTTAATAACAGACACTCAGTTACACTGAATATGATGTAAACGACTGTGACTGTTCTATCTGCTCCGCTCTCTCTTCTCTCTTGGGGACGTTGTCCTGCCGGTTGACTGGGCGGTGTGCGCGTGCGCCGATCGGAAAAAAATTCCTACGCCTCGAATCGGAATTTTATCGAAAAAAATACCGAATTGCGAACCGAAAAATCGACGAAAATCACACGATTAATTCGCAAATGTGATGTTTCGTTAATTACTGTCACTGAATTGGCTTGACTTGCTAATATACCCGATCGCGCAGCCGGTACTACTTTTCGCGGCGCGTGGAGTGCGCGAGTTTTGAATTCGCGTACGTTTTCGAATTTTTCCGAGTATTTCGAAACGTTGGGCGATTCGATGGCGGAAAATCGGCGAAAACGGCCAGCGATCGGTTTCCGTGCGATTTTCGGTAGCTCTGGAAACGCGAAATCGAATCGGACAGTCGGTTGGCGATTTGGAGATCTCGGCCAATGTTGAAGCTGGATCCGCTTAAATGTCCATAAAAGGTAAACGCGGTGAAGTCGTGACAACATGGTTGACGTTCGTTCGAATGATATGGCGCCCCGCCCTCGAAATACATCGATTTCTTACCGAAATTGGTAATATCTCGAAATATGCTCGTTATTGTTGATCGCGGCTTTATTCAAACAACTGATAACGAGTATTTAAATAATGCACATTCGTTAAAAATACCCCATTGTATTTTGCCTTATAATGAAATATTATTATGCGGACGCATTTTAGTGAGTAATCGAGTGATCTTTTATCAAATTATCTTACCAAACGTTTTGTTTTTGTAATTAATTACAATTTGTTAATCTTCTTTCCATTTAAATTTCACCTGCTTTAACTATCATTCAGCCACATTAACTAAAGTTACTAGATAACTCCATTTATTTGAAGAAAAAAAAAAAGAAGATTGACATATGTCATCCTGTCATCCATTTGACATTGACACTTAATTATAACCAAGTTTGCGAACGAAAATACAAAAACAATTAAAATTTCATTCAAATAAGGATTAAATAAGTTAAAAGAAAGCAAAAATGTCTGATTTAAAAATAGAGGAACTGGATTTATACGAAATCCTTAACGTAGAAGTCAATAGTTCAGTCGCAGAGGTACGTATTTACCTTCTATAGGTTTTCTTATATTGTCGGATTTATTTTACAGATCAAAAAAGCTTACAGGAAGCAAGCCCTGCAATGCCATCCAGATAAAAATCCCGACGATCCGAATGCTGCTAAGAAATTCCACGAATTATCGAAAATATTGGAAGTTTTAACCGACTCCTCGGCCAGGGCTGCCTACGATAAAGTACTCAAAGCCAAAAAAGAAGCCATCTTGAGGCACAAAGAACTAGACAGTAAGAGAAGGAAACTTAAAGAAGATTTAGAAGCAAGGGAAAAAGGGGGAATAGGAAGGCACAAAGAAAAATCCGCTAGTCAACTATTAAAGGTATAACAACAACAAAAGAAAGAGTAAGTGAATAATTTATAGAGAGCGTTTTAGGAGGAAATTGAAAGGTTACGAAAAGAGGGATCCAAACAAGTTGAAGAAGAAATCGAAATGGTTAGAAGAGAATTAGAAAAGGAATTTGCGAATAACACGGCCAACGACGGTTCGAAATATCGAATAAAATTAAAATGGTCCGCAGAAAAAAACGATTCCACAAACGGAGGCTACACTCACGAAATCCTCCACAGATTCCTATCAAAAGTACAACAAATTACAGCTTATTTAACTCATATTTAACACATATTATTTTCCAGTACGGAGATGTACAAGATTTAGTAATGTCGCCGAAGAAAAAAGGAAGCGCTCTAGTGGAATTCAAAGACAAAAAAGCCGCTGTAAGTGTACACATTAAACGAATTATATTCTTCGATTATGTAAATTGGGTTTTTCAGGAAATGGCGGTGGATTTCGAAATAGGCCTACCAACAAACCCGTTAAAATTCGAATGGATCGGGGGAGCCCCTAAAAAAAATCTTACCGCCAGCTCGCTCGTAAAAGACTCGGATTTCGAAAGCGTGACTTTAACGAAAATGAGGCAGGCGGAAGAAAGGAAGAGATTGATAGAGCAGATGATGCGAGAGGACGAGGAATCCTGACGATGCATTTACACTTAGGCAATAAAAGTTTTAAAAAAATTTATAAATTTAATATCATCGACGATACATCACTGTGTGCACAATTAATTTATGTATTGAAAATCTACGTAAAATTAAAAAAAAACTTTGAATATATCACAGCTAATTCTAAAACGTTATAAAGGAATTGCGACAGTGTCTTTTTTTTTTATTGTAAACGGGCCGGTATGATTTACCGAGCAAATTATACAGAATATTTAATTTGTGCTTATATAGTAAATATCAATAAAGTCAAGAAATGTTGTGTATGTTTATTAAAACGCTCATTTATACACACAACTTCTTGACGAATTAAAATAATTATTAAAAAAAATAATGAACAAAATAACAATAAAAATAAAAATTTGATAATTAAAAAATAAATAAATCCGGCTTCTTATAGAAATCGATTCTAAAAAAATAAACACACAAACAGATAAAAATTTAGCGAAACGTTATTGCTCAAAATCGATATTTTTAACTGCCTGTTTCATAAATAATATCCTGCGTTATATATAAAACAAATCAATAAGGCTTCCTCTAGGAATCGAATCGAATCGGAATTCATTCGAATTTCGTCCACTGGCTCTTCGCGTTGACCTTCCCGTGCGATCCGAACGCCTCGAAACCGCTACGATTTTGCAAATTAGCCGAAAAGTTAAACGTCAAACCGTACTCCTGCAACAAATCCTGATCGTTCCTCTGCTGCTGCTGCTGCTGTTGCACGCTCTGATTCGATATTCCGCCGTTTTCGTACGTATACAAAGGATTCGATATGGTCAACGGCACCTTTCTCTCGCCCGACTTCGATTTCAACGGATCGAAATCGTCGATATCCGACGAGGAATCCAGCCGGATCAAGTCTTCGCTCTCTTGATATTGCTACAAATTTGATTGTAAATTAATATTAGATTCGAAGGGAGTCGTGGGATAGAGCGTACGAGTGCAAACTAAAACGAGTATAATGGGTTGCATAACTATTAGGCGCACTTAAAGAACCTCTTAAACGTAAACAACGCACAACTGTGGGGTTAAAGAGGCACTTTAAACGATGAATTGGAGTTATAAACGAGCGCTGAATACATATACATATATACATATAATAAGGCGGAATACTACAAATACAAAACTGATCCCATTACCTTCCGCCTGGGCGAATGCGTCGGAGGTGACAATTTAACGATATCCACCGAATGTCGATTAGCGACGAAAAACAGCGGATCCCCGTTCTCGCTGTGACCGCCGCCCACCACGAAGGGAGCGCCGCCGCCGCCGAAGAGCCCGCCGCCCGGCTCTCTGTCTCGAGCGCGCGGCGGCACCGACGGCGGCGACAGGAACACGTCGTCGGGCGATTGCAACAGGTTCTGCGTCTCCTGCGAGTGGCCCAAATTCTGCAGGAAGAACCTGTTGGGCGACGAGGCGACCGGGGCGGAGGCGCGCGTCTTCGACCACCTGTCGGGGCTGTTCAGCGGCGATGTGTTTTTGAAATTCTCCAAACTGCGCACCGGCTTTAGCTGTAAGTGTTTTTTTCGAAGGCGATGCGACAATGACGAGCGTAAACAAAAAAAGCAGATACGATAAATAGAAGCTCGTTTTTTAACGATTTAATGGAACACGCTGTATAATAAACGGTAGCTTACCGATCGATCGACGGGCGGCGAGTCGAGCCGCAGCTGCAGCAGATCCTCCATTTCGTTCATCAAATCGATTTGAGGAATTTCGATGGGACTGTTACTTCGCGGGCTTTCCATCACATCCGGCGACATCGGTTGAGAACTCGGGCTTAGCGGACTGTAAGATCTAAACACAACAAACAAAGTAAAATAAATTCTTTTTCGAACAACGGATTTACCCAGAACAGTTCAAATTGTGCTGAACGTGCTGCCAAATTTTGCACAAAAACACGTTCATCGTAAACAGATGCAAACCGAATATTATTATTCACAAAGCATTCGTACGAAACGTTACGTAGACGTATTATTTAAATAACAGGAATAGCAGAGACGAAACAGGACCGTATCCGAAGGTATGTGTATACGTAAAATTCACGAACCTTTGCATGGCGGAATTTTTGAGCGCCAGCGCCGCGTCCTTGCGGTAAGTGGCCACCGGGGCGCTCAAACCGGCTATGGTTCTTCGTTTTCCCGTCGGAGAATTCGGCGCCGAACGGTGCTTTTCGCCGCCATCCAATCCGTTTTCCAATTGATTGGGCGCCTGGTTGTCTTTCAGTTTCGATCTCAGCCCTTTGTAGGCGCTCTTCACGCCCTTACCGCCGTCTTTGACCGTCTTCACGGCCGATTTCATTGCCGGATTCGCCTGTTACAATAAAATCCCCCGGTACAATACCACTACTAAATGAATTGATTAATAAAAAATACCTTATCTTTTACGCTTTTAAAGAACGCCGTGCCTTCTTTCTTCATCGTCGTCGTCCATTCCTTGTATTGCTGCTTCAATTTCGAGCCGGACTTGGCCGAATAACCTTCGATTTCGAACTCGAACTCGTCGGAGAACCCTTGGCCAGTGTTCAGCATCATCAATCGCTCCTCGATGAACTTCGAATTACACGAAACAATCAAAAAACTACTATCAATTCGCCGATAGATATTCATACCTGTTGGAAGATCTGCAAGTGTAGCATTTCCCTTAAGAAGGGCTGCAACGAGAGCGGTCTCGTTTCGATGAATCTCTCCGGATCGAAGCTCACCTTCTGGCCCGGCTGGAATTTCAACGCGTCCCGGTAACCGCCGATCAATTGCACCAGAGCTCTCAGGAAAGCCCTCGACACGCCGTCGCCTAATTGCTTGTTTCTTAATTGCTTTTTCAACGAAGCCACCTAAAAAAATACACACGAATTACTATCGTTTGATAGCAGTAGAAGTTTAGTAGAATCTTACCACTTCTTGAGGAAGACTGGACAGATCATCGAACGGCGTTTCCACAGTATTCGCGTCCGTATCTAATATCACTACGTCGCCTATTTCGCTGCGTTTAACTTGCTACAAAACAAACATATTTTACTAATAATTTAACGGGGGTTTAATTTACGTACTTTGAAAACCTCTTCGGGCACTCCTATGAGAAAAGGCATGGGGGCCAATAGGTAGTCTACTAGCGACATAGGCAGTACGGGTATGAAAATATGTTGCCATATCATCGGGTAGATAATATCGTTGGCGGATTGTACGCAGGCGCTTAGCCGTTTCAGTTTCTTCGATGTGAATATTATCCTGCGTTCGAACAGCATCGAAGCGAATATCAGGGACATCGTGTGCGTGTCCACCGCGTTGAAGTACTCCGTGAGGTTTCTCTGAAAGTAGATTTATAAATCGACTATTAACAACGGGAACTAATGGCTAATTTCCACTCACGTTCTCCGGTATGCTAGGAAGCTGAAACGGCCGGGGTATGTCTACGGAGAATAGCTGCAAAATCGCAATTTTATTGTATATGTTTTGCTTAAAGAGGAACGGGTTTTACGTACGCTTTCTCCTCGATTGAAACACACCGAAAACACGCGCCCGGGCTCCGCTATTTTCGTGTTGTAAACCGCAGTCAAAAATTCTCTGAGATCTTCGGTTCTCGAGCTGTGCATCAGTACAGCAGTTGTATCCAGGAACCTGAAAAAATAAACGAAACATTACGAATTAATTGAATTACCCTTCGTGAAAAAATTGTTTTCGTTAAACGCGAGAAAAAAATAATAAAGTGAATCACGTATCAGTACTATTGTTATTCATTTTGTAACATTTATTTGATCTAATCTTGTTTAATTTCGAGCTTGTAGGTATTATTGAATTACTTTTTATCAATTTATTTGTGTTGCAACGAGCAGGATTTTCAATTCATTTACTTGTTAAATAGATACTTTATATGGAGAGTTAAAAGGCAAATTCAACAGACAATAAATTGTTTAGAAACGCTCCATAATCATTTCGAACTGTCTAGAACCATTTACAACGCTCCAGAATAATTTAAAACCATTTAGAAAGCCCCAGTATCATTTAGAAGTGTCTAGAATCATTAAAAACGCATCATAACCATTTAGAACAGTCTAGAGTGTGAATTCCGCTTTTTATCAATTTATTTGCATTGCAACTGGCAGGATTTTCAATTCAATTACTTGTTAAATAGACTTTATATGGAGAGCAAAACCAAACAGGAAGTTAATTGTATAGAAACAAGCATATTCAAACGGAACATCTGTGACAACGGTGCGTCAATGGAACTCCTTTCATTTATAAACGTCCTGCACGATTCCGTTCAAGGTTAAACGATTCAAATGTGTATCACTTTCTTTTCAATTAATTCAATGGATCTAACAGCGGCAAATTTATTTACGGAATGAATGGAGTATATTGTTTGTATTAGGTAGTAAAAATTAGGGAACACTTACTTGTAGAATCCTTGATGCCATGGTAAATAACTTAATACAACTATAGCAGTTTCTGATTTAGGATCGTGCCTGCAAAACCCGAACGTCCATTTACCCTCTACATCAGTCAGTACAAATGAATAGTGTTGTATCACATCGCTGTAAAATAACAAATATTATTCGATTTAGCATTACACAGGATATAAATACAATGCTAATAGTAGTGGTGTAAATACTCGTATGAAATGGATTTAAATGAACTTGCTTTGTAAATTTGTAGGGATAAGCGAATTTGGGCACGGATTTGAGCACTTCGTGATCTTTGTAGTTGTCCGGGAACTGCTGGATGATCCAGGGCTCGCTTTGGTCTGTCGGAGGGACAACCTCGCAGAAACATTCGAAAAAATGTTTTACATTTTCCCTGAAACGAATTCGCGAATTGTACTCGTTGCTATTTAATTCAATCGAGAAAGTCTTACCTTATTCTTGAACCCATTACGTAGGTAAATAAATCATTAAAGTTTTACTTCATTTTAAATCGCTCCGCTTCCGACTTGATTTGATGTGATAACGCTTGATTCTTTAATGCGACAAATTCTTTTATCGCTACGATTGTATCCGAATATCTCGCACTTTTCGCAGAATTATTATTCTAACTGTATTTACATGAAAAAGAGAAAAGAAAACCCACATCCCACATCGAATATTCACTTGAATTGTGTCAGTGTCAGTTGTCATTGAGATGACATTTCGATTCTTCTTTTTTAATAACAATTATCAGATGGCTGACTAGTAGAATTATCAAAGGCAGTTTGTTAGATGTAAAAAGTCATGTCCTGATTTGCGCATAAAGTGTTGCATAAATTTCAGAGACTTTAATAAAAAATGAATCTTATTAATCTTACTCAAAATTATAACTTAATAAATTTATTAAGCTGCTACAAGCTGCACTAAATTTGTCATGCAGAATAAATATGAGAAAATAAACATTGGAAGTTGGCGCAAGCGCATTATCTTTTTCCGTAAAAAGAATCTCAAACTCAAGATGGCTGACACTTGTTGGTTTTGATATTTGTAAGCCAGTTTTTCGGTCGAATTTTAGTTATATCGGCGGTTTGAATTTTTATTTTCGTTGAATACCATTAGTGATGTGCCTTGGTGCTGTGTAGTTACCCATTAGAAGTCTACACAGTAATGTTATTTAGTGAAATCGCCAGAAATGACTGCTTCCGTGGACGTTCATTATTTACAATTTCGTACTATAAATATATCCTTTTTGTTGATATAAATGGATAACTCAGTATCATCAACCGACAGGTGAGTTATTTGCTGCTTTTATTCGGTTAATGAATTGGGTTTATTGGAAATGAAAACTAGTAAAAACAATACGAAGGGTAATTCAATTAGTTGACACTTACGTTTACTTCGTATTTTTGTGCTTGTTACCTACATTCGAATACAACAACAACCAGTCGTATGTCTAAACTCGATTCGCGTTACAGCATTGTTTAGATATCCTAGGACACCTATTTGTTCTAATTTTGTTAAATAAACATTTAATAACGTTATAAAGTCTTATTAAACGTGACAGAAATCGAATTATTTGCGTAAACAATATACAAAGGAATCAAAACGAATTTAATGTTCATAATAGAGTCTCGATTTATTTTTGAAATAATGTAGGCGTTCATAAAACTGTTCATTTACAGATTATGCAAGTATGTCGCACACTTTGATCCCCATCATTCCTTCATCCTTAACATTTCATCCGGAAACAAATACAAATCATCGATTCAAATTTCAGCCCAAATTATTTTCGCTATGCCAATCCTAGATGGGCATTTTTTCAATATTTTGCCAGTCCATGTATTCGACTAGGTATTCCAGTAATGTTTTTGAATATTTATCCAGCACTCACTACTACCAAATAGTTGCAACTTACAAAAAAAATCCCAAAATGTTACAAATCAAATACATCGAATCCTTGAAATTACACATTGATATCCATTTTACGAATGTAAATATCCTAAATTTACTATAAACATTCCATACCAAGCTACTCGATTAAGGGCTGTATTACAAACTGGCCTGTTACTTATCTGTTCAGAGCCTACCTATCGGTTTACAGACACACCCGATTCACTTGTATCGCATCGAATCAGCTCAATCGAGCTCCTTCAATACTAACCCAAGCTACTTGATTAAGGGCTGCATTTCAATCTCCCCTGTTACTTGTCTGTTATTCAGAGCTTATCTATCAGTTAACAGACTCATCCGATTCACTTGTATCATATCGAATCAGTTCAATCGAGCTCCTGTAAGCTACTAGCTTTTAAGGGTTGCATTACAAACTGACAATTACTAGCCGGCTATTCAGGCAGTTATGCAGAATGCAATCGAACCTGGCTCGATTGGGGGCCCGCTCTAACGGTCTCTTCCTCGTTGCAGCAACAGCCCGCCGCCGTTGTGCATGAACGGTTCGACGAGGCGGCCGTCTCCGAGTCCCGGCTTGCCGGCGACGGGCGGCGCGAGGCGGCCCGCCTCCCTCATGGATCACAGTCAATCGCCGACGCACGCGGTGCGCGTCGTGGTCAATCGCGACGACAAGGGCTACGGCATGAAGGTGTCGGGCGACAATCCCGTCTACGTGCAGAGCGTCAAAGAAGGTAAAAAAAATATGCGATTTTTTTCGAATTTCGGGGGTTTACTAATATTTATTTCGATGTTGTTGCGGTTGATGATGAAAAGTGGACGTGTATGCACTTGTAGTGAGTGTGTGATGTAACTTAAGGGTGTATAAAACTGTGTGAATAACTTTCAACAACTAATAATGTTAATAATTATAGTTATGTTATAGTTACAATTTCTTTGCAATGAATCATTTTTGTAGTAATTATACTGGGTGTTAATTGAGTGTCGATGCTTCAGGATGTGAATATTTGGGTGATTTTAAGAAAGAAAAGTTATTTTCTTTCTAAAACTGTAACACCCTGTAACTCGAAAACTAAGAGGTTTAGGACATATGTATATTAATATAAAGTTTTCTTTGTTAAAATCATCCAAATATTGACATCCTGAAGTATTGGCACTCAATTAATTATCACCCAGTATTTATTTAATGTTTAAAACTCAAAACACTTCATATTTTTATGTAACTGTTAATTAAAGCGACTCGTTACATCTCCCTTTCGTCAACAATTGCTTTTATTAATCACCTACTTAATACTAAACGCATTTAATCATTTTAATTAATTACAAAACGCTTCGTTGTAGCGAAGTAAATCTCCTATGCGAATTAATAACGAATAAATCGCGATTTTCGTTGTATCTAATCGAGCGTTTTTTCAGGTGGCGCGGCCGAAAAGGCAGGTCTTCACGCCGGGGATAAAATCATCAAAGTCAATGGGGTTAATGTGATGTCGTCGACGCACACCAAGGTCGTCGAACTCATTAAGTGTAAGTTTATTTTTATTTTATAATTTCGAACGACTAGTGCACGCGCAATGCCGTAATTTTTCGTGTAGTGAACATTAAAAAAAAAATAACAGGACTAATTGCCGGTTCATCGGGATCTGATTGGATGTTTAGCCAGGAATTTAATTTAATTCGGGCGTCGTTTAGATGCGCCCGGTCTCGAAGAATTATTACGCTAATTTGTTTTTATTTTCACATTCATTAAGCTCAATTTACGTGACACAATTTTCATATGCACCTAAGTTCTCGAAAAATTCGGAGGCACTTGCACGTCCGAATGCACCTTACAAATTTGCGCGTTTATAATCTACAGGGCGTCCCAAAAATCGGCTTGTAGAGCTAATCGACTGGAAACCGGTATGGGAAATTTCATTGTGCGCATAATTAACAGTACCTGTGTGTCATTTATATTCTCGTCGATATTTTATTGCGTTAGATCTGACCTAAAGTGACAACATTGTGCGGTTGGATCAGACTTATTTATAAACGCATTCGTAAACTGCTGAAAAATATGAATTATTCAAAGTGCCGAGATCGGTAAATCGGTGAAATGTTATTTAAAAAAAAAATTACAGTTGTATATTCGCAACCTGTTTACGCGCAATGATGTTATGATCCTAATTAAACCGGCCGTTTCGTTCTTTTAACATTTTAAATAAATATACAGGGTGTCCCAGAATAGTCGCAATGATACGACTCTCCCAATGAATATTTTGGATTATTATGAGTTGTTCGAAATCTCTTGCAGCTTCCTCTCAAGTGGAATTAACCGTACAACAAAGGTCCAGCAGCGTCCTAAGGACTATAGGTTCTCCCAGTTTGCTTAGTCGCTCAATAACATCTCCGATATCTTCGAGAATAACGGGCCCTCAACCAGTCGACGTAAGTATTAGAAGTTTTCTCCAGAAGAAAATTCTGTCGATTCTGTACGTTAAATATTAAAACATTTCTAATGGCAATTAACATTAATCGCTCGTATTAATTATAATCGTTTAGGATGTGAGTCAGCCTGCGTCGAACAACAGTTATATGCATATATAAAATTTAAAAAAAATGTTTCAATTATGCACTCACAAATAACGCTATAGGTCAAGTTTAAGTAACAACGAAAATATTCGAATCGATCGTTATAAGCGATCAAAACTTGTAATTGCCATTTTTATCGAGCACATACAGAGTAAAGAAATAAATCGTTCAGAGAATCGTCTTATTTGCGATTACCTAACGAGTTAATAAAAATAATAAAATAATAAACGAATACGTTTCACGGTCGATACATAGGAAAAAAGGATTTGTTTAATTTCGACATATTTTTCCACTTCCGATTTCGTCAATAAGACGATCGCAATAAAGTGATATACGAGCGAAAGTTAGATCGAAATCGATTCTAATGCAAATTTTTTATTTCCAAGTTAAAATTCCATTAAAGTGGCATTTAATCGAATGCTCGGGAATTAATCGAAACGATTATTTAATAGAAAGTTTGTGTGGATTGTTTAGCGAATTGGTGGAATTCGTGGGTTTATGAATTTTCCACTTTTAACTACTCCTATTCAGAAGTTTCATATAAGCAACTGGTTATACGAAACTATAAATAAAGGGCAAACAAGGTGAAATTGAGGCCCAATCTTTTGCCTATCTTCTTCCAATAAGGATTCTTCTCTAAGAGCCTATGAGTATTAGGCTATTGGGTTAAGCAACAGTGCTGATTTTTCGTTATTTTTTAGAACGAGAAGCAACACCAATTGCAATTAGAAAAAGAGAACCATTATAGATTAATGATAGAGAATCAACAGCAATACATCGATCGTCTTCGCAGTCAACTGGCATCATCGCCGGACGATAAGAAGTTCCAGGAGCTGGCGAAGACCGAAAGGAATCTGCGCAAGTTGCAGATGATGTTAGAAAGAAGCCAAAGCGAGGTAAAGGGAGTTTAGGGAAAACAATTAATAGTATTTTTGTACAGTATCATGAAATCGTCTGTGTGCTGGTGAGGAATGATTTCGCTTTATACATATTACTGTGGACGGTTGCGAACGAATTAATGATATGTCTAACGTCTTTGTCTTGTTTTCATTTTTTTTTAATTTCATTGCAGAACAATGAAAGCTACTCGTATCGAAGAATGTACTGAGTAAGCATTGATATCCTACAATTACTAATTGAATAGCTAAACGTGATTATCAATCAGTGGAACAGTCAACGGGGAATATTTTTATTATTTCTCAGTACGGATTTTTTTAAGGTTCTAGTTACAAGATTTTTTTTATTCTGTTTATACAGTAACATCGTATTATTATTGTTGATCTTTAATTCTTCGCAATCGTTCGATTTTCTTTTCGTATCAATTTATATTTTGTACATTCATTTAGTTAAGCTGTTGTGGTGGCACTTTATCTAATATTCCTTAATTTTTTTTTGGGACAACCAGGTGACATTTAACAGGTACTTCGTTACTTTCGAATTAAATACACGCGATAATATTTTAGATATTTAAAAATATTTTCGTATGCTACTTCTGGTGAAAATATTTTTTCTAAAGGTGTTAAATGAGTGTTGAATTTTTCGAATGTAAAGCTCGTGGAAGGAAAACGATTTGTTAATATTGCTAATTTACACTTTCTAATAATTTAATATGAGAATAGTCGATTTGCAAGGAATAATCCGGCTTCAAGAACATATACAGTTAGTGCAAAACAAATATCAATGCACGTCATCTACGATTTACTACGTCACAAGTAGGCAGTGTTGCCGAACTTTTATAGAGTTTACAAAATCTAAGAACTTTTCTCATCACTGTTATTTTATTAATCTTTCTTTGTTCAACTCGTTGAATTGATGATATTGCAAACACATTGCCCTTACTCATATAGTAAACTATATTATATATGTATGTTATCAGTTCACCAGTTATTCAATATATTTTTAACCAGTTATCTAAGCGCATAGATAGGATTAAGTAACAAAAAATATTTGAATACTCAACTCGTATACATAATTGTAAATAATAATTAACAGTTACTAATTTGCGAAATATTTGTGCAAAACTTCTGCGATTCATAGATACCCTCAAATAAAACCCTGTACAGGATTAATTTATCGAATTTTAAATCGGCGTATTAATAAAATTTATGTAATTTTCAACTAAAATAATACGAAATTAACTTCGCTGATGTCACAGCTAAAATCGAAGCATGTAACAAGTATTTTTAATTTTTATTATACGAACGACTTGCAATGAAAACTTGGCTGTCCCACGAACGACAACATCGAACACACGTTTTTTCTTTTTTCAACCGACCGACACGCTTATGACCTGTCTTATATCTCTCTCTTACAGCAACAAACTCAACACACCGACTCCCCCGCTTTGTCCCGTCCGAACGTCCCACCCCCGTCGTCGCCCAACGGCAACTCCGACGCGCCGCCGCCCCTGCCCAAACGCAACCACCATCCGGGCGGGCGGCGTCGCGCCGCCACCGATCCCACCAAACGCGCCCCGATCGACGGCAAATCGCCGTCGGTCGTCGATTTCCTCCGTAACGAAATTAACGCCAACGCCGCCCAGGCGGCCTCGAACCATCCCGACCGACCGCCACCCTTGCCGCCCAGAAATTCCGCGCCCTTGCCCTCGGAGGACGCGGTCAACTCGATTAACAAACAAATGTCGTACCCGTTAGTGGCCACGTGCGCTACGCTAGTTAACGATGATGTAAGTAACTATCTGAGAGTTCTTCTTTATTTTATTTTTTTCTTCTTCTTTTTCTATCTGTTCGAATCGTGTATATACAGGGGGGTTTCACAGCTTATCCGACAAATTCTAACCACATATGCACTGTTATGAAAGAAGTAAATTTCTCAAAAAAAATGTAATAAAAGTCTTACAGAAATCGAGATAATAAAATAATAGTTCAATTACTTATACAAGATGTTCAAAATTGTTTCCATTTACTGCAATGCAAGCTTGGATGCTTGTTTTTTTTTGTTTTAACTATTGTTTTGGTGCAACATTTGCTGCAGTAAAGTATTGAGGCAAAATTATGAACGCAAAATGCGGTATTTATTGTTCAATTTTTTATTGAAACTCGGATTTATAATTTTATTTCTGTAGGACTTTTATTACATTTTTTTTGAGATTTCTCAGAGAGGGAGAAGTTGATTTCTCAAAAAAAATGTAACAAAAGTCCTACAGAAATAAAATTACAAACCCGAGTTTCAATAAAAAATTGAAAAATTAATACTGCATTTTGCATTTATAATTTTGCCTTAATACTTTACTGTAGCAAATGTTACACCAAAACAACGGTTAAAACAAAAAAAACAAGCACCCAAGTTTGCATTGCAGTAAATGGAAACAATTTTGTACATCTTGTATAAGTAATTGAACTGTTAAACTATTATTTTATTATCTCGATTTCTGTAAGACGTTTATTACATTTTTTTGGGAAATTAACTTCTTCCATAACAGTGCATACGTGGTTAGAATTTGTCGGATAAGCTGTGAAACACCCTGTATACAGGGCGTCCCTTGAATCGATAGATATAGCTTAGGAGAAGTATTTATTGGCCTACTAGACATTATACTGTAGAAAGGAAGACGAGGTCCTGTTCCCCGGGCTCCGAGATCGCCAGATCTAACACCTCCGGACTATTATAACTTTGGAGACGTGTGAAGAGTTTAGTGTATTCTAATTCATCAAAAAATAGACAGAAAGTTGACCAAGGAATACCCTCCCAAGCTGTGTCTATCGACTCACGGTACACCCTGTTTATATAGAAAAAGAATTGTTGGTTTTTTTTACTGCGGTTTTTTTTGAAAATAGTTTCATCCAATTGGCGTGCCATATTTAAAGATGAATCTGTTTTTAACAAAGCTTTCTTTTTTATAACGGATGAAATGCAGCCCTTTTGGCACACGTTTGTAAGTTTATTCTTTTCTCACCGAGAAAATAAATTGTTTGTAGTGCCACCGCTACCACAAAGCCGCTGTTGTGCTTGTGCTTTCGTTTCGGTTTGATTGTAATTTTTTTTTCTCGTAGCCAAATTTGCATTTTACCACTTTATCAAAGAATTTCGTGCATGTAATACTCCCTCAAATTATTCATTTACTCTACGAAAATATGGATTTGTAAGTTCTTTGTACTTCCCACGCGGCTCTACTACGATCAAACGAAATCTTTTACAGAATTATTTCGAGTTAATTTGGTAAAATGTAAATGATGTAACGTTTTCTAGTAGCTGATGTATATCGAATTAGCATGTTCGTTAGATTAATCGATGTGAGTATTGTAATATAATTGTACAAAATCGAAGCACAACGTTCAAATAGATATATCTTGTGTACATACGAGGTGGAAGATGGTTAAAAAAATACCCGTACCTACAATATCTACTAACGTCTCGAGCTCATCGATCACTGCATGATTTTTTCTTCTTCATAATACGATAACAATTAACCCAATCGACGGTGTATCTATTTACAATATAATAACGCAACGAATTGTGCCTTAGTCGCCGAATCCCACTCACCACAGGACGAAATCCAGCCCGGAGAATTTGCTGACGCTCCAAAACAACGAAGGCCACATGAAACTGTCGGAGAGCATGAACGATCTGAGCAGGCACGACGAGTGGGACACGCCGCCCGGCACGCCGCCCCCGCCCTATCCCAGCCCGCAGCCCCACCGCCGGGACGTCTCCGGCGTCGATAACGTCGAAGAGGTACTAGCGGACTATTTATTATCTAAGTAATATGGTAAAAATTTCGACATCTAAACGCCCTATCGGTTCGCAGGATTCGCCGGATACTTCTTTTCGAAGTAACGGTAGCAGAATGACGACGTGCGGTTCGCCCATTCACGCGGCTACGCCTCAGATGTGTCAACAGCCGATCATGAGTATGGAGGACGACGAGATCTCGGACGATGAAATAGTAAGGGTTCAGTGTAGAGTAGATTCAGAAGTAGAGTAAAGGGGAACAGAGCAGAGCAGAGCAGAGCAGACTAGATTGACGGTAGAATCAGAGTAGAGTAGAGGAGAACAGAGCAGAGTAGATTAGTTTCAGAGTAGAATAGAGGAGAACAGAGCAGAGTAGAGTAGAATAGATTTATGGTAGAATCAGAGTAAAGTAGTTTCAGAGTAGAATAGAGGAGAACAGAGGAGAGTAGAGTAGAGGAGAACAGAGCAGAGTAGAGTAGAATAGATTTATGGTAGAATCAGAGTAAAGTAATTTCAGAGTAGAATAGAGGAGAACAGAGCAGAGTAGAGTAGAATAGATTTATGGTAGAATCAGAGTAGAGTAGTTTCAGAGTAAAATAGAGGAGAACAGAGGAGAGTAGAGTAGAGGAGAACAGAGCAGAGTAGAGTAGAATAGATTTATGGTAGAATCAGAGTAGAGTAGTTTCAGAGTAGAATAGAGGAGAACAGAGCAGAGTAGAGTAGTTTCAGAGTAAAATAGAGGAGAACAGAGGAGAGTAGAGTAGAGGAGAACAGAGGAGAGTAGAATAGATTTATGGTAGAATCAGAGTATAGTAGTTTCAGAGTAGATTAGAGGAGAACAGAGGAGAGTAGAGTAGAGGAGAACAGAGCAGAGTAGAGTAGAGTGTATTCAAAGTAGACTAGATTCAAAGAAGAGCTGCGTAGAGGGGAAGAGATTCGAACAGAATAGAGTAGAGGAAAGCAGTGTAGAGCCTAATTTACATTGCAAATTGACATTGTAGAGAGTAGAAATGATTAGAAATAGTAGAGAGTAGTAGGACCGAAAACCCTGCGTCCAATTTACCTGTCAGAATAAAAGGACCTTTCATACATTCTCTAACATGATTCTAGATATAAATATGGAATATTTATAAGTTTGTATCCGAACGTTTTTAGAGCCAATTAGAGGATCACGGTTATTTCAAGTCGTTATCGAGGCTCTGGGAGCACCTACCGCACCTGGCAGTATTCACCAATTACATACTATCGAATTCCGATCCCAACGGCTTGTTGTTCTACCTCCTCACCGATCTTTACAAAGAAGGCAACGCCAAGGAGATGCGAAAGTGGGCGTTCGAGATCCATTCCAGTTTTTTAGTACCAGGCGCCGTGAGTATTATTCGCCCGTTATCGATTAAAGCGTTCGATTTCTAACGGAAGATTCGTTTCGCAGCCGTTGCGAATAGGCAACGTGGACGAGAACATGGCGCGCGAAATCGACGTGGTGCTGGCCAACGAATTCGACAAGGAGGAGATCCTGCGCAAGATCTTCTGGAAGGCCAGGCTGAAGGCCAAAGAGGAGCTGACCCGGCAATTGGCCGACTTCCAGCAGAAGAGGACGGCCGGTTTGGGCACGCTCTACGGCCCGGCGGATCAGATACTCGCCGAGGTCTACAACGACAAGGCGAAGGAGATGCGCCTCTACGAATCGCTGTTCCTCAAGAAGCTGGAGCCCTATTTGGAGGAGATCGACAAGGAGAATTGCGACGCGAAGCGGTACTATACGGCGGCCGCTTTGACCACCGTGCTCATTAGGATATTTCAAATACGGCCGACGGCTACGAACATCATCGATAGGTGTCCTATATTCGTGAATAAGGAGAAATCGTTTAGGACGAAGCTCATCGCGAAATACTCCAAAAAGGTAACGCTTTTAGAACGTTTAGGGCTCTCTCACACGTGGATACTGGGAGCATTTAGGCTTGAAGGGGAGACCAAAATACATATGTTATTTAACCCAACTTAACCGTGTGTATGGAGCTATTCTGTATCTGTATCTCGCGTCTGAAAGAGCTCTCCATTTTGATTCGTTTGATGGACATTGTACAAATTTCACGTTTCAGCAAAACTTCTTGGGCCACCAATTTACGGCGCAACAATACTATACTGTGATAAATTGTAATAACTGCCATTGCATCCTGTACGGAATCGCGCCGCAAGGTTACCAGTGTTCGAGTAAGCCCGAAAATCGATTCGACTCCTTCGCCATGTAACATAATTTAACGATTTCAGGTTGTCTCATCAATCTTCATAGGAATTGCATAAAGAACTTCGAAGATCCCTGTCCCGGTCCGATGAACAAAAAGGACAGCAGGGGCATTATGAAGCTGATCGGCATGAGGCACGACATGAACGAGCACAGGAATAAGAAGAGCAACCAATTTTTGTTGAGTAAGTTTTATTTTTATAAAACGGAAGGTTTTAGATATTAATTGTATTTTCGTTTCGTTTGTAGTGGAAAGAGACGCGTCCGAGAACGGTAAGTCGCTTTTTTTTCTCTTATCAAATTCGTGGTAAATGCTTGTGTTAAAAATTGGGGAGTAATTAATAATAAGGAGGATGAAATTGTAGACATCAAGTCCCTTTCTTAAAGCAAATGTTTGCTTCTTTTTTTTAATGTTTTGTTGCCTCGGTCTTAATGATGTTCGTTAATTTGTTTATTATTAGAACTCGACATGGCATATATCGGACTGTTTGTCTGTTTTACCGAAGATATTCCAATTTATAAATACATAAATAAAGTGTTTATAAAATGTTACAGGAAGTATATTAGCGGTAATAAACATGCGAAAGAATAATATACGGGGTGTCCCGCTTAAGTTTTATATTTTTAAATGCATCTAGCTCAAAAATGGGGGCTCAAATTAACAAAATTCCTATGAATGATTTATTTATTTAATGATTTATTTAATGATTTATTGCCATCTATTTTCTGGACGTACTATACAGGGTGTTCCTAAACATCGTGTAAAAAAAATCTTGAAATTTCAACACCCTGTAGATCGGTAATGAAGCGTTTGCGGACCCACGTTTATATAAACTTTTAGTCATTAAATTAGCCAAGGAATCACTCCCTTTTGGATGTACACGATGTTTAGGAACATCTTGTATATTATCGGGGATTTGGCGAAAAATAATGTAAACGGCAACAGCGCGTCCGGCAAATCGAGATAGCGACGGAAAGCAAAACGACGTCCCGTTTCCATCGGCGCGCACAGTCCCTCCCCTTGTCCCGAAAACCGAAAAACCCGAACTAAACAGACGTTATCCCGGTTTTCGACGCTCCTCATCGGGAGCCGTGCTCTCTGTTGTCGACTTTCCTCCCCCTAAGGTGTCTCTCGGCGCTTCCTGTTCTTCTTCTTCTTCTTCTCGATTTACGTGTGTGTGCCGTATCGTCGGGTCGCTTTGTTTTTGTTTAGTGCTTCCGCGACGGGGCCTCACGTGCTTTGAATTTTGTTGGTTTATTTTTTGGATATTCGGTTTTGTGTTTTCGTGAATCGGATTTTCGGTGAAAGTACCTTTCGCGAGTTTGTGCGTTTATTATCACTGGTAGATGTTTGTTTTTGTTTATATCGAAAATATTGGGAATTATGCGTAATTAATGCACGAGCTGTTGTGTGGTATTTAGAATTTCGTAATTTTTGTTGATGCGATCGCGAATATTCAGGAAATGTCTGTTAACGAATTTCGTGTATACAAATAGCCTTTTACGTCGATTCGATTTTTGCGAAAAATACGTTTCTGGTGGGCCGTTTCACGTGTACCGAATTTTACCTGCTCTGCTCTTATTCACTATCATTTTTATTTTGTACTACTACCTCTGATCGCACCTTCTCGGAAACCAGATGTTGCCTTTGAAGCGATTGTTATGCTCCTATACCGGGCATATGCTCCGTTAAATCAAATGTACCGAGTTTTGTGTTATTTAATCACCTTTCCGATTTCGATTTAAATTGGTTTTAATTGAATTTAAGTAGCATATTTTGCGAATTTATACGCTCGTGGAATTAATTTGCCGGATTTAAATTCATTGGAGAAAATAGTGTGATAAGGCGCGGATCCATTTTTGCTATACAAATAACGAAATAACATTGTGGACGGCTAATGAAATTTATTTTTGTTTTTATTATTACGTTCCCGCGTGCATTTCCTACGAGGGACAAACGAATTTCGAAATTAATATCAAACATTTTGACCTAATTCGTCGCTTTTATACGCGTTCGAGTTGCGTTAAATGTTTGCGAATTAATTAGTTGATTAATTACGAAATCGACGAATTTATGCGATTAGACTGACCAGTGTTAAATTTTAATATCGTTTGCCGGAAACGACGATAAAGTGGTTACGAATTATAATAAATAAATCCAGAAAGTCGCTTTTATAAATATAAAAATGATGCTAAATTATACGAGACGTTTTGGGCGTAAAAACCTCAAAAAAAATAATGCCTACACCTTGCGGCAAAATCGCCCATGACTCACATTTAAATATAAACTCTTCGGTAAAAGTTTCATGATAAAAGCGAATTTAACATAGTCGAAACGGAAAAAACCATCATATCTACTTTCCTTCACGCCATTGTATTATCGCCTCCTAATTAGTCGATTCGATTAATTTTCCCTTTCATTATCTCATCGGGCAATTAACCCGTCCGATTTTTACGGCTCCATTTAATGTTTGCGCGCGTACCGAAAACATTTACGTTTAAATAAAAATAAAAATCGACATGTATAAAACATTTAAAAATAAATTCGCGCGCCATTCATTAAAATGCGTTACGCGTTTTCGCTTGCGTAAATCTAAAGTGTTTACATTTATTCGATTCGTTCGGCGAAGAAAAGATTCATGGATGAATTAACTATACAGGGTGTTAATTAATTGAGAGCCGATACTTCAGCATGTGAATATTTGGATGATTTTAAGAAGAAAAGTTTATATGAATATATGTCCTAAACCTCTTAATTTTCGAGCTACAGGGTGTTAAAATTTTAGAAAAAAAATTCTGTCATACTTTTCTTGTTACTCCAGATATTTTTATGAATTTTTATCAATTAATTAACACCCTGTATAGCCCAATTCGCGTAGAGTTATAAATCAATCTCGGTCGAAATTTATTGGCGAATATATTTAGCTTATTTGAACATTGGGTAAAAAGTACCAACGTCGAATCAATTAAGAATGATTTCGAACAATTCGAATTGTCTATAGTTGTAGCGCAATCGTCGGCTCGATGGCGATATCTAAGCGTTTTATAATTGAAATATGATTAAACAATGGTCCGCGATATTTTATTGATTCGACTATTGCATTGAATAAATAACTGTCTTTTAAATTTTTAATTGGATATCTGTTAGCGGCCGCTTTTATTCAATTAAATCCTTTTCAGTCCGATTCGGCGAACGGGCGATTCGAGATGTTTTGATTCGCGCTAGTAATCCCAGTCGCATTTCCTTATAATTTAATATCGATTTATTTCGTTGTATTTATCGTGTAAAAATTTTGGAAATCAGGTAAAGGAGGTTCCTGGCGAGCGTCGGTCGTGCGTCGGCTGCGAAAATTCCAAAAAGCTCGGTGAATTTTTTTTATCGCTCATTTGCAATTCGAACTCGCTCGCGCGCTGACTTCCTATAACGTGCGATTTCTAAAAATATACACGCTCGTCAAACCGCCCGGTTAGCTGGTGTTGGTACACATCGTTTTTCACGTATAATTCCCAATAACTTAATCTTATCAGAGATTGTGTATGCATGTGAGAACTCGGTTATGACATAATTTGTACGACAACAACAACACGACGATGGTGCGTTGTGATGTTAAGTGCATCGATTAAAAACGATCCTTTTTATGGAGTCCCAGGATTATAATAACCGATGCGGTAGTTTGAAGAGATCTAGTAGCTTCAAGAAGTTGTTGAAATTGCCCAATTGGGGCTCGTCCAGTTCAGGTAAGATTATAAACATTGTTCGCGTTTTATTGTCAATTTTTTTTTAATACCTACCTAATGGATTTTCGGCATTGTGTATAGACGTGATAGAATTATCCTGATCCTGTCGAAATCCATAAACAGAAAGTAAAAAATAGCCCGCGTAGAAATATTCGATTTAACTCACAGTAAAAATACATTTTTATTGCAAAAATTCGAAAAGACTGCCAATAAATAAACGTTGCGGTGTATTTTTTTTGCATGTAAGTTTACATACTTATATTTCGAATTGTTGGACAAAAGAATATTCAATTTTAATACGCCTTTAAAATTTTTTGAATCTCCCCCACAGCTATGCTAAATCCATCCAATAAATACATTAAAATATCAAACGAGTCAATAATGTATCTGTTGTCTATAAAGATTTGATCCAGTGTACACTGCTGTCGATCAAATCCGTTAATAAAACGTTTGTTTGACGAGCGTATCCGATGAAAACTTTATTTACATTTTTAATATAAATAGGTCAAAGTATTAGCAACTAATTAAATTAGAAATTTTTTGCTACACTCCTATTTAATTGCATTAAAATTTCCGGTACGAGGAAAGATCGATAAGTTACAAGTTAGTCGCTTAAAAATTGTTCGAGTTATAGAAAGTATAAAGGATTTATTTCTCGAGACCCAAAAATATTATTAACGATTTTCGCGCTATTTTTACAACCGCCGTAATTGCGGAGTTATAATTTTTTTATGAATATCATTTTCCCAATAAATGTTAATTCGAACGCAATAAATAAACGTGTTCGGAATCGTTAAATTTAATTACGCGAAACGGATAATATTGTAAATTACCAACGCTAAAAAAGAAATTCCCTATTGCCCATTAGATAAAACCGAGGAAAACCTTGTCCAAAAAATTATTCCTTCAATTAATCGCTATCAATTCGAATTTCCTTTATATTATACACGTGAGTTAATCGCTTGGAAAAAAACCAACAGAACTGACATACTAATTAATAAAACGATAAAAATCCGTTTTTCTAATCGTCGCGTTTATACGTCCAATAAATTCCCATTACTTTATGTGAAATCAAACGGGCGCTGGCGTCGCGACGCCCGACGCTCTCTATCTCTCATCGTCCAACTCGCTTAATTACCGAAAGACACAAGGCTAAATTGTAATTGATACAATCGTATCGATATAGAGGATTTTTATGATTATTTCGATATAAAAAAAATCTCAAGTATAACACTGTTATAATTTTCCGGAATAGATTAATACGTCCTTGTAGCACTCTATTAATTATTTATACAGTTGCTCAAGATCTCTCAATAAACTTTTAACCCTCAGCGTCCAATATAAAGTTAAGTAGATAAATATAGATTACTTTTTTGTTAAAAAAAAAAAACGAGGAAAAATCATCGGGACTCGCTCCGGTTAAATCTCCAACACCTGCTCGACGGGCGAGAAGAGACGGGATAAAAAGATTACAAAAAGAAAAATCGGGATCGATCGCGAGCGGGCATCCGAAGACCTTAAGCGAGGTCGGGACG